GAAGATATCTCTGTCTCTCTCTCTCCTCTCGCTCTTTCCCCTTTTCTCTGTAAACCTGCCTTTCAAATAAGAAAAATAAATCTTTATTAAAAAGAGAGAGAAGAAGAAGGAGCAAAACAGCCAGCACCCAAGCCAGTCCTCCCCATGAAAAGCAGCATCTTAACTTGCTCTTCCACAACACCAGCTTCTGTGGTGGTGCTTGACTTTATCTTTTGAAATAAAGTACTCATTCCTGGTATTATATTAGCACATCCACATCCAATCTTCTCCCTTAAGCTTTGATGGGGGAGATGAGAGAATAGCCAACATCTGACAGGGACTCAGTTTGCATAGGATTTCCAGCATGCTCTGTTTATACATATGGGTGGATACAGAGATATGTGCACATTTAGTAAGTCCTGTTGGTTAAAAAAAAAAGGTATTTTTGAAGAATGATGCTACAGTTCTATATGTAGAACATGGCTGTTCAGCTTGTGTTTTACCAACAGAAATTTCTACTTAGGCCATGCAGGGATCGCTTTTCAGCCTTTTGGCTAAGATAAAGTGTCGGACACAGAGAAGCATTCGGAGAAATAACAGTTCGGAGCAAACAGAAACGTTAGCTTTAGATACGGCAGCATGGGAGGACAAGGCCTGTTAGGATGGCTGACATGAGGCCGGAAAAGGAAGTGGGAGATACCAGAAGTCTTTGGGGAAGAAATAGATGTTGATACTGGCTAGAATGATGAGAAGTTCTTCATCCTGAGGAAAGGAGGTAACTATCAGTTAACAAGGACATTTTATTAGGGGAAAATCCTCAATTATATTCAGCAACTTTCGGAGTCCTTAGCCTGTGCTGACTTTGAACTTGGATCTAATTGGTGATTTAAGACTGCGCAGAGGTACAGACTTCATTCTCATTTGATATGTACTTTAGATGAGAAGCTAAAGAAGGAAGGAATTAAGTAGCATTATAAATAGCTAGTGGCACTAAGGGTTACACATGGGGAAAGATCATTGATTATCTAGAGTAGTCCAAGAAGCTTCTTTACAGTGACTTTGGAGGCATCACGTGCTGTGTGTACGTGGTTCAGGTTGGGGTGGAAAATCAAAAGTACTTGGTGAAAGAGTTTTATGTTCCCAAGTGGTACAGCATCAATTCGGAGAATTAGGACCATTTCTAAGTGATTAGGACATTTGGAAGACAGTGATGGGCCATGGAAGGATGTTGATTTTATTTTAAAAAAAGAAAAAGATACAAAATAGGATGGTGAGTAAGAAATATGAATTGGCAAAGCACAGCCTGCAGGCCAAATCTGCCTCGTTCCCCATTTTTGTTTTAATGAACAGTTACATTGAAACGCAGTCATGCTTATTTGTTAACATAGAATCTGGGACTGGACTGCAATGTCAGAATTGAGTCGTTGCAGCTAATGGCTCAAAAGGCCTAGGAGGTTTAATTGTGTAAGTGACCTTTGTATAAATAGTTTGCAAACTTTAGAATAGAGGAAGTATGAAAGACTCCTAACAGGCTTTTCTTCAATCCAAACCTGAGGTCAGAAGAGGTTGGGTGCCTACAGCAGTGATGCACTAAACAGGTTTTAGACTCTGAGCTGCTAAAGCAGAACTCCCAGCAGCAAAACAAAGAGGGAAAGAAGAACAGTGTCAAGCCACAGAGTGGCCAAGTATTTTAAATTTATGAAAAGCTGTTACACCTTACAACTAGAAACCAAACAGTGCAAGAACTGGGTTGGAAACTCAGAGAAATGCTTGTGCTGATACTGTCTGCACCAGCATGCAAAGGACTCAAAGATAGCAGGGGAGACTATACTTTGGAAAGCAAGCATACAGAATAGGCACGTTAGTCTTTTCAAAATAAATAAGTAACTAGTAGGGAAGTTTGCTGCTTCTTGGAGAATCGAGTGTTAATATGATAGGGGATAGAGGAACTCTGGTGGAGGGGAAGTCAGCGGAGAATGTCACGTGGACCAATGACGATGTGGTAGGTGAGTCGGTCACTGGCAGCAGGTGGAGAGAACAGAGCTGACATCAAGTAGCCAGCGTTGACGAGCTGTGAGATTCTGAGCAAGCCACTTGGTTAGCTTGCTGTCTGTGCCCTTGGTCATAAAGTGAGAGCTTTGACTTGGGCATTCTGACATCTATGATGTGCAAAATCTGTTTTCCTGTAGGAAAGTTCAAAATTGCCATCTTTAGGAGAACAGATAGGAGTGGAAACAAGAGTGCAGAGTGAGAGTGGTTTGCTGGTAAGCTAACTTTGGAAAAAGAAATTGTTGATTGGTTGTGTTTGCCAGTTTCTGAGGTATAAATACTCCTGCTTTAAAGCAAACAGTTGGGCCTGGCATTGTGGCATAGAGGCCAAAGCTACTCCTGTGATGACATCCTGCATGGCTGCTGGTTCATATCCTGGCTGCTCCACTTCTGACCCAGCTTCCCTACTAATGGCTTGTGACAACATAAGCTGGCTCAAGTGTTTGGGCCCCTGCCACCCACATAGGAAAGCCAGATGAAGCTCCAGGCTTTGTGCTGGCCTGCCCTATTGCCTGCAGCCATCCAAGCCATCCACGGAGGAAACCAGCAGTTCAAAGATCTCTCTCCCTCTGCCTTCCTCCCTTTCACTCTGTCTGTCTTTCTCACCCCCTCCTTCTTTAACTCTGACTTTCAAAACAAATATTTTTTAAAAAAAAATGGAAGAAGAAGGAAATCTACCAAAAAAACCTCACAGCATTAATTTAACGTTAATTCTCAAGGCAGAAATGCACTGACTCGGGCATACCACTGTACAGCTGCTGGGTGGCTGTGAGTACACAATTACATAGATAACATATTCACTGTAGACAGGTCTAGTGAAGCTTATTATTCTTGCCCAGACCAATGAGTTTCAGTGAAATAGTCAGCCGGGTGTGAAGCTAAGAGAAGCCAAGATTGGTGGGAGTGGTTAAGATTCTGTATTTGTAAGGGTCAAATCAGTTTTGAAACATACACTGCCTAGGGACCAGAGAGTACTGGAACATGTAATGAAATGGTCACAGTTTCTGCTTTTGCAGATACAGAGCAACTTGAGCAGATTGTTAAAATACGTATTTTAAGTTCAAATTCAAATGGTACAGCTTATTTACAATTCTCATAGAGAGCCTTTCATCCCTATTGGAAGAGAATGTATGGAATTCATGTATAACTGCATAAAGGAAGTTGGAGAAATTAAAAATATACACTGAAAGCAAACTTTTTACATATGAAAGAGAGTGAGTGAGCGACAAAACAAGTCCTTCCCTTTCCCGGGTTCACTCCAGCCCAGCCACGCTCAGCAGCCTGAGCGCAGCCAGACCAGCCAGGGACCAGGAGCTCCCCTCGTGTGGCAGGAGCCCCTTCCCAGGAACAGGAGCAGGAGGCTGGATCAGAAGAGCAGAGTAGCCCGGATGCAAGCCAGGCACTCCCAGTAGAACATGGGCATGCCACACAGCAGCCTAGCCTACTGCACCGTAACACCGTCCCCAGAAAACAAAAGTCATCGTGGCTACTCTTCTGCAATCCTTTTAAAACAATAGTTTCTATCACATCATCTGTTATGATCATGACCTGTCTCATAGTACAGCATGTCTGGGGGTCTTGGGAGCTTTCTCTTCACCTTAATTAAAATGTCTATTCTGGTTTTAAATTTCTTACAGAGAGGTACAGCATTTTATGTCATTTTAACATATTGTCAACATAATGATTTTAATGAAATCACTGATAACTCCCCTTATCCAAAAGTTTACAATGGTCTACTGGCTAAATCCTCACCTTGCTTGCACCAGGATCCCAAATGGGTCCTGCTTGGAATCGCAGCTGCTCCAAGTCCCGTCCTTCTCTTGGCTTTTGATTGGCTCTGCTCCAGCTGTTGCAGCCAGCTGGGGAGTGAACCAGCGAATGGAAGGTCTTCTTCTCTGTCTCTCCTCCTCTCAGTAGTCTGAGTTTCTAATGAAAATAACTTTAAAAAAAATTTGCGACTAGTAGATTAATATTGGAACCAAAAACAAAACCCATCAATAGAAAGGAAACTAATAGCATGCCATTTAGGATTTCTTAGAAATATTTAGATATAGACTTTTCTCCTAAGTTTATTTTTCAGTTATAATTTTAATATTCCAGATCAGTCGTGTAAACTTCACGGAGGAGAGAGAACACAGTTTGAGCCCAGCAGGTAGACTGCTGCTTGTAACTCCCGTGCCCGTATTGCAGTGTCTGGCGCAGGCGCCTACTGCTCAGCTTCCAGCTCAGCGTTCTCCCGAGGCACAGCCTGAGAAATAGCAGATAATGGCTCAGGTGCTGGGGTCTCTGCCACCACCCACTTGGGAGACCCTATTGAATTCTAGCCTCCTGGTGTTGGCTTAACCTGACCCTGTTGGTAATGGAGCATTTGGGGAGTGGACCAGCTTATGAACCATCTCTCTCTCTCTCTCTCTCTCTTTCTCTTCCATTCTATATGTGTCTCTCAAATTGAATTTTCTTTTAAAAATGTAATTACTTTTGGGGCAGTTTTAATTTAAAAAAAATATTTCTCATACCAAAGAATTTTCTTTCAGAATCAGGATTCTCTGATTAGCCGTGGCAGGTCAGTTGTACCTCCACATAGCTCTCGGTAACCACGCTCTCATTGTGAGAGCCAGTCTCGTTGAGAATCATTGAACCATGATTCTGCCTGGATTTCAAACGAAGTGGATTCCAGCTTGTCCCCTTTGAACATTGATAACATTAGGTGTGCCAGCCATTATGGCTGAAGTTTCTTTACCAAGTGATGCTGCATGGAATAGCTAATTGTTGAACTTCTGCAGAAGTTGAATAACAATTCCAATGTGCTCTTGTATCACAGAGTCCAATGAAAAGCAAGAAAGATTGTTTTTCCCGCTTGGCTGCCAATCGCTGTGCCTCTGATTACAGTATCCCTTTTCTATTCCAGTTTTGAGCGTAGAGGTCAATATTTCCTCCTTTTTCTTCCCACATTTCTCCTTTGTCAACTGCAGGTATTCAGCATGTTTTTGGAGACACTGGTGGATTTCATACAAGTCCACAAAGATGATCTTCAAGACTGGTTGTTTGTACTGCTGACACAACTACTAAAAAAAATGGGTGCTGACTTGCTTGGGTCTGTTCAGGCAAAAGTTCAGAAAGCCCTTGATGTTACCAGGTAATATTTTCTTCATATATTCCAGTCTATTCAAGAATAATCCGAAAGTTTTACTTCCTAGAGTGAAGGTTCTTCTGCAGGGCATCTATGAGAAAATCACTCACTGTGCCAGTTCACATTCGCTACTTGGCACAGCATTGTTCCTTAGATGAAACCCTGCATTTCCTTTATAAAGTATTTACTAGTATTGATTCTTTAATGTATAACAGCCAAAAAAAAAGTCTATGCAAAATAAAGCTGAGGCTTTGATTTGATTTAATATTTTTTAAAGGGTTTTCAAGTAACACTCTCACACCATTCATACTGACCATTCGTACCTCATTGGGATTTCTAGGGTGATATCAAACGACCATCTCCCTCCCCAGACCCTGCCTAGCCTCTGTCTCCTTCCCAGACCCTGACCCAGCCTCCGTCCCTGTCCCCAGACCCTGACCCAGCCTCTGTCTTCATCTCCATCCCCGTCCCCAGACCCTGACCCAGCCTCTGTCTTCATCTCCATCCCCGTCCCCAGACCCTGACCCAGCCTCTGTCTTCATCTCCATCCCCGTCCCCAGACCCTGACCCAGCCTCCATCCCCATCTCCATCTCCCTCCCCAGACCCTGCCTAGCCTCTGTCTCCTTCCCAGACCCTGACCCAGCCTCCGTCTCCGTCCCCAGACCCTGACCCAGCCTCTGTCTTCATCTCCATCCCCGTCCCCAGACCCTGACCCAGCCTCCGTCTCCATCCCCAGACCCTGATCTAGTCTGACTGCCACACACACACCCCCATACATGTGAACAAAGGAGGGAAACTGAACATTTACCTCTCCACCTTCCCAGATAGGTCTGCCCTCCCCTCACCTTTGTACTAAATACTAAAATAGAATTAAAAGTTTAAAAGAAAATATTTTTTAATTTTTCAAAGATGATTTTATTATATATTTAAGTATTTGGAATCTCTTCAGAGGATTCTGAACGGTGATGTACTGCTACATTCTGGGGCAGATCATTGAAGTGATGTATTCCAAATATCAGTTTACTAAGTGGAAGTGAATCTAGAATTGGGATTTGGGTGTGAGGAGTTCTCTCCAAGAATGTTGAACATTTTCATGAACGTCTTTCTGATGAAATCTATGACTAAGGCATTGGAGGCTGTTATTTCCTGTGTGTGTTGCTTGTAGCTATAGAACTAAATTTTCATATTCTGTTGGAAAAGCCTGTTATTTACTCTACCACTTAAACTTGATGACAAAGATATTATTTCTTTCTTTTTTTTTTTTTTTTTTTGCTTTATTCTCATTTCAGAGAATCTTTTCCAAATGATCTTCAGTTTAATATTCTAATGAGATTTACAGTTGATCAGACCCAAACACCAAGCTTGAAGGTAAAAGTTATGGTCTTTTAAAGACATTTAATTAACAAAGTCACATGTATTTTATTTCTGTCACATGAGAGGCTGTTGAATGAGTGGGTTTTGTTTTTATAAACTTTCAGACTGTCAAGCCAGCACTTCGGGACCAGCTTCACTCTTTTTGGAGCTCCAAGGTTTTTGTTTTGTTTTGTTCTAATCTGCGTTATTTCTTTTCTTAATAACTCCTTACAGTTTTCAGATAATGTTCGAATGCCTGTATATCCAACTACTAACCTTTGTAAGCCTTTTACGCATGCATGTATTGGATTTCCAAAGCCAGATTCCCCTTTGGGACAGCTAACTGGGGATACACATGTGTAAAGTTTCACAAGTATGGCTCTCTAACCCAAAGCTGGTATGCGCATTGCACTGTGGAGTCGCCTCTGATTTTATGTTTGTGATTTCCCCAATACGTTTTTGCCTTTTAAGAAAAGTTATGTTAGGTTTAGTATGTGTTTTGAGTGAAATACCAGTTTTGCCTGTGGGTTTGAGTTAACAAAAATTCTTAAGTTTGATCTTAGTGATAGGCTTCACATCTTCTTAACTGAAGTAGTAGCTTTTTTGCTTATATTGGTCTGTTTGTTAAATTTAGAGTCAGGATTAAATTTTTCAGTGACTTAGACACATCTTTCAGTTAATTTATGTATGTTTAAGCTAGGGCGATTTTAATATTTCATTAACTATTACTATTAAAATTGTCACAAAGAAAAGAACAATTTAATGTAAAAGAGAAATACCTGCATTCTTTACTAAGGATGCCTGTAGTCAACTTCATGAAATGAGCTTGAAGTCAGGGAAATAACAAGCATATGTGCTTCTAGAAGGCTTATGTTTTGCTGCTCTGTCCTGCACGAAATGTATTTTTACGAATATGAATGCTCAGGTTTCATTTCCCTTAAGCATCTAAATGCATTTACGTACCTTCAGTCATGATTAACGTGTTTTACTGGGGTTGGCACTCAGCTACTGTTTTTCTCCGAGCTGCTTTGTGGAAAGGATCTCATCTGTGTTGATTTTGAAGAGTGACCTGCAGAAGGAAAATAACTCATGTTATTGTGGATCATGTTTAGTTCATTTTCTGTGCAATACATTGTATGTAATACAAATGTTTTCCTGGGAATACCAAACCTAGAATGTTACCCTCTGCAACATAGGATTCACTGCACACTATAATAAAGATTGAATCATAAGTTTGTACAGCACATGTCCATGTAATGTCAAAAATATGTTTGTAGAGATATTTCATGGGCAGTTCAAAATGAGGGTCTAACACAGCTTTCAGAAGTAAGAACGATAAAGAGTGCTGAGAGTAACTTGCTAAAGATCTGAAGAGAGACCCAATGGGCAAGAAACGTGAGAGGGTAAACAAATTAAAATGCGATTTTTCTATTGGAAAGCATTATACTGGAGACGGGAATCATGACCTTTTCAAAAGTGTAAATTCCTTATAAATTTGTACGTAGTGCCTGTACAGATATTATAGCAAAGCCCTAAGAAAATAATTCTTCAACTCATACTCCATGTTAGAACATGAGAGAGAAGTTATGTTAAAACCATAAAGTAAAAAGTGACCTTCACATGCGTGTCAGGCTTAAATATAAAAAACTTTACAGGCTATAGAAACAAGTTAGAAAATAACTAAACAACAGTCTTTCTGATAAGGGGGTTTTATCAAATTTTACAGCTTATAAAATGTTACATGATTAAATATTGAAAAGGAAACAATGGGAAAAGTGGTGATACAAAGTGATGTTATTTGGATTAGTAACACTTTTAAATAGATTATTTATGTTGAGTTCTTTTTCTGGTTTCGTGAAAAGGACACATACATCAACAACTAGTCTGTTTTTATTGCTGTGAAAAAGAATACATGTTTGCATGATTAAAATAACAGACTCATATAGTCTTGTAAAATGTACTTCTAAATGTTCAAATAACTATTTGTGGATTTTATTTCACAAGTTATAAACTCATCTGGTTTTTTTTTTTCAAACTTTGCATTAGTTTATAAATTGCCAGGACACTGTACTAATTAAATCTCATATAGTGCAAATGAATGTATTCAACCATTAATGGTGACAGATTCAAAACTAAATACGTTAGTCTTCATTTTTTGTTTAATACAGTCACACTTCAGCTGCTGACACTAATAGAAAGTAACATGACTTCAAGAATCCACAATATTATATGCTTCCTTAACTTAGTTGGGCTTGCTGCTGTGAAACTAATCGGAGGGTTTTTTCCCTGTTATTTCTGAGAGTTTATAAGTTGACTCATGATTTTTGTAATATATTTACAATTATAATTCCTTTAAATTGATAAGACTGTGTATTTATAACATGCAGCATGATGTTTTCATATATGTACTTGTATGACTTAATAACCTTTTTGTAGTAAGAACACTGAAAATATATTCTTCTTGGTGATTTGCACATGTATAACATGCAACTTGTTATTAACTGTAGTTGCCATGATTTCTTCCTGTGTAGTTGAAATGTTGTGTCCATTAACCAGTGTTTCCTAAACTCCACAACCAGCCTCTCCCTAAATTAATATATAATATGTATTTAATTGAAAAGCAGAGTATCAAAGAGAAAGACCTTCCATCTACTCACTTACTCCCAGTTAGGCCAAAGCCAGGAACCAGGAACTCAGTTGAGGCTGTGCCCATGGCGGCCGGGGCCCAAGGACGTTTCCTCCACCTACCCAGGCCCTTAGGCAGGAAGCTGGAGTGGAAGCCAAGCATCAGGATTCCAGGTTGTTATGAGGGAGCTTAACCCACTGCACCATGAAGCCCACTCCACCCGCACTAACCAGTTTCTGTAGTCAGCGTTTCACTTTGTTTCTGGAGTTTGATTTTTTCTTTTTATATAGATACTTCAAATATGAGTAAAATTTTGTGGAATTTGTCTTTCCGTCTTGGGCTTATTTCACTTAACGTGATGTCCTTCAAGCTCATCCATGTTGCCACTCAAACAAGCCTTACTGTTTTCTTAACTCAGAGGTTCTGTTTTTGTTTTTTGCTTTCCCCATTCAACCATTGAGAGCACCAAATGAAACCATTGCTTTCATTTCCTGTCTTGGTGGTTAGGACTGATGCTGCAGCGAGCTTTGCAGTGTGGATTCTGTCTCTCTCTGTCTCCCTCCCCTCCACTCTCCCCCCGACTCCTCGGTTTATTTATTCGTCATTTATTTAGATGAAAGACAAAAAGAGCATCCTTATTGGGATTCATTCCCAAGGTGCCTGCAACAACCTGGACAGGCCAGGGTAAAGTGAGGGACAGAGAACTCCATTGGACTCCACTGGACTCTGCCTGCTGGGCAGCGGGCACCTGAGCTCTGGAGTGCCCGCCGCTTCTCCCCAGCACCTGAGCAGGTGCACACGAGGCAGGCACTCAGGCTCAGCAGCGCTGACCTTCTCTCTTGTTCATCTCATGATGGTCCTAATTTGTATTTTCCTAGTGTTTACTGCTGCTGAACATTTTTTTCATATACCTATATATCATTTGTGTATCTCATCTTGGGAAAGAACCATCCTAGCCTCTTGTGCACTCTGTGGTCAGCTGGTTGGTTTTCTTGCTGGTGGAGTTCCTTAGGTAGTTTTACTGCTAATTTGTTATCAGATGTGTGGTTTACAAATATATTCACCAATTCTGTAGGTTGTCTCAACTTTTGATCATTTTCCATTGCTATGTAGAAACTTTTTACTTTGTTAGTCCCTTTTGTTCTTGCTTTCATTGTCCATTACATTACTTTGTTTTTCATTATCTTACTTGTTAAAACTAGTTACACTTAAAATTCAGTCCTTGAGGGAAAAATGTCGATCCCTCTGTCATTTCGTTTTAACTGAGTCTTTTCATATTGCATTTCCTACATATGGATGAACTGCTTCCCCAGAGACCTTGGTTGGCCTGAGTGACAAAAATAACATTTAGAGTCAGTAACAAGGGAAGAAAGAACATAGGAATTTTGTTTCCCTTAGTCTTTTCCAGCATTTTTTTTCAGGTTAGTGTTTAAATCAAACATTTAAACCTTCGTTTATGTGGGTCAGCAAACTGGAACTTGGTTTGCATTTAACACCTGCTGGTACAAGGACTGTATGCTATCTCAGGTGCCATGCTTCAATTGCCAAGGTGCAGGCGTGATGACGAAAGGAGTTTGTGGGATTTTAAGTCAAACGATACAATGCTGCAAATATTTAGAATGAATAAGTTTAAAGATACAATTTACAGCATGAGGACTATGCTTAGCAATTGTATTGGAGATTTTTGGTGAAGGGTGGATTAGACACACATGCACAAAGGAATAAACATGCAAAATGATAGATATGTTAATTTGACTATAGCAACCATTTCATTCTTAATATCAAAGTATCATGTTACATTACCTTGAAAATATACAATCAAGTTTTTTAAAAAAATCCATCATTGAAAGTAAGTGTTCTCGCCACAAAAAAAAAAAATTGTGGTTACTACAAGTTCATGTATTAATTAGCTTGGTTTATTTATTCCACAATGTGCATATATTTCAGAACAGGTTGTATACTCCAAATATATAAAATTGTTTTTTATCAATTGAAAGGATACACTTTTTTTTTTTTTTTTACAAAAATACAGAGTCTAGTGCAATGACCTAGTGGCTAAATCCTCATCTTGCACTCCCAGGATCCCATGTGGACTCTAGTTCATATCCTGGTTGCTCCAGTTCCCATCCAGCTCCCTGCCTGTGGCCTGGAGGGCAGTGGCGGGTGGTCCAGAACCCTGGGACCCTGCACCCATAGAGGGGACCCAGAAGAAGCTCCTGGTTCATGGCTTCGGATAAGCTTAGCTGTAGCCATTGTGGCCTCTTGGGGAATGAACCAGTGGACAGAGGATCTTTCTGTCTCCTCCTTTCTATAAATCTGTATTTCCATTAACAATAAATAAATCTAAATGATTGTAGTAATAAAGTATACAGAAAGCCTGACAGAACAATTATTTTTAAATAGTGGAATGTGATCTCATCATGTGAGTCTTAGCTATGTTGGACCAAAAACCCTATCTTGTCCACTTCATCAGCTTAATTTACCAATCCTTATTTCCAAAATACTTGGGTTTGTTTTCCACAAAGATGAAATTACACTGAGTTGATAAAGACTGACTCTTCGTGAGGTGGATGAAGAGTCAGCTGTAAGCTCTGAAGGCAGGTTCAAGGCGAAGTTTATAACCTGTCAAGAGAGTCTTCGGCAGTGGCTGAAACTCAGAATGAAACTTCTGGGACAAAAAAAGCTTTTGGTACTTATGAAAACTAAAGTCCTCCACACCCTCATTATTCTTGTCCCTCTGGTAGGTAAGTGGTTGTTTGATGTCTGTTTTTTATGGATGTTTGTTCACTTCCTTTTTGTTAAAATAGAACCACTTGAATCCTTTGGAAGGGTGCTCCCATGCCTGCAGTAACCATTTTCCTGTCCACTCCTTCTGCTCGCCTTTGCAGGTGAAGGTTGCTATCCTTAAATACATAGAAACTCTAGCTAAGCAGATGGATCCAGGAGACTTTGTAAATTCCAGTGAAACGCGCCTGGCAGTGTCTCGAGTCATCACTTGGACGACAGAACCCAAAAGTTCTGATGTTCGCAAGGTGTGTTTTCATGTGACTTAGAAGATAAATGACGTGGGGGGTTGGGGAGAGAGAGGCAGTAAGCTGTTTCAGATTGCCAATGAAGAAAGCTAGTATTTTCAAGATATTTCCAGTCAGTGGTGATTTCTGAGAGCTTTCTTTTATCTTTTTTAACTATTCAAAATTGTATCCAATTCATTCGAGTGTAATTGTTGGAATAAAAAATAGCCATGTTTGCCATAGCCCTCCCAACCTTTAATCTAATGTAAAAATTTGCAAACCATTTTCCTTGCATTTTCTTATGTGTTTCAGCTAAAAGCTGATACCATTTCTTGAATTATTAGTTTTAGATTTTATGTCTTGATCTAACGACAAATAAATATGATAAATGTTACTATTGTATATATGTCTACTTACCTTGGTAAATTTTTTAAGATATCAGTATGTTCAGCATCTCTGCTGCGTGGTCGTGGCTGATACTGCCGTGTACTCAAGAACAGCTTGTTTCTTTTCTGGGGCACCCCTTCCTAGACCTCCCATCCTCTCATTTGGACATTTTCCTCCCTGTGCTTGCTACACAAATATCTTCCAGAAACTTCTATGCAGACTTTTTTTTTTTTTTGCAAAAACTCCTGCTCTCCCCGTAATTATTGACTTTTTGTGTCCTATTCTATTTCTATTTGCTCTCTTCTTTAATGAGTCATTTCCCCCTATATTTATTGCAAAAAAGCTAACAAGACAAATTTTGTGATCTTTTTTCTTTTCTGATGATAAACACGATACCCAGCAAGAGTGGGAATATGCATTTTTCTCAAATCAACATGGAATATTCTGCATGCTAATCCAAGCTTCAGAGCGCTATAGTTCTAAATTATACAACTAACAAACACCTTCTCTTACCACAGTACAGTTAGAATCATAACAGAAAGAAATTTGAGAAAATCACAAATGGAGATTAATTTATTCCTAAATGACCAGATGGTGAAAAAAATCATAAAAGAAATAAGGAACCACATTGATATGAAGAAAAATAGAGGTTTAACCTACCAAAATAAACGGATACAGTGAAAAGTATGTTTAGAGGGATATTTATAGCTATCCATGCCTATCACACAAGAATGATCTCAAAATCTAGTGTACCAACTTTTAGACATTAGAAAAAGAAAGAAAAACTAAACCCAAAGCCAAAAAATGGAAGAGTAGAATCTAGATTACAGCAGGCACTGTTGAAATAGACTAAACAGATAGAAAAATCGAGTGGGGTTTCACACTTGTTCTCTGAAAAGATCAACAAGATAAAGTGACACAAGTGAATTGTTGGTATGTTGCAAAAAAGAAAGTGAAAAAGATAGGTTTCATGTTGAACCTGAGTCCTCATCTATTGTAGCAAGAAATCTTGGAGCCTGCACAGTGGCATGTAAGTTAGGCCTCTGCCTGCAGCCCTGGCATCCCATGTGGGTGCCACTTGCAGTCCACTTCCCATCCAGCACCCTGCGTATGGTCTGGGAAAGCAGCAGAGGCTGGCGCTAGTCCTTGCTCCCTGCCTCCTTGCGGGAGATCCAGAAGAAGCTCTGGCTTTGAACCAGTTCATTTGCAGAGAGAACCGGGGAATGAAAGGCATTTATCTACCTGTTTCCCCATCTTTCTGTAACTGTCTTTCCAATAAAAGTAAGTAAATCTTAAGAAAAATCTCTGGAAAATTCTTAAGCTTGTCAATTAAGAAATAATGACAGAAACCTGTGAATACCTAAGTAAAGGCAAGCATTATAAAAGGGAATTCACAAAACCTTTTCTAGAGCTGTTTGGTTTTTAAAAATATGTTTTGTATGTAGGAGTTACATCAGACTCAAAAGATGATTTGTAAATATAAAACATATCTAGTTAAACATGTGACAGTAGAAAATTTAAAAATAAAAAATGAATGACTTGATCAAAATATACTGTAGCCATAAGAGCTTAAATCACTTGGTACGTGTACAGAAATAAACATAATAGGCCACTGTACACAAAGAAGGTTCTAAAAGCTGTTGGGCGTAAGAAATCAGTTCATGAAAAGGGTGACACTTCAAGTCTTAACAATAAGACAACTCAGTGGTGAATGATTCGGGAGAGTTGGCCTGTCCCTGGGGAGAAAATAAAGCGTAATCTTGTAAAATATATCCTGCACGGAGTAAAGTTTATATAAGCAATCACTTGTTCAAGTTGAAAGCCCCTGCACTCTAGTGATTTCAAGCAGGACACAGAATCGTAGTTTTTAAATGTACTACCACGTTAGGGTGTGTGTTCACTGCTGCGTGCTTTGTTGATTTTAACAGCATGTGCTCGTGGGCTCCCTCAGCAGCACCTGGGAAACTTCTCTCTGTGCAAGCTACATCATCTCCTAAGACTATGATGTATCTAACACCACTTAATCAGTTGTTCAATATTGTGTGTTCACACGCCATAAGCATAAAACGTGTTCGCAGGGAGTTGAATCGGAAAAGGTCAAGTGCAGGTTATACACATTTGAGTGACTCCCCTGTTACATCCCATGTTATCTGAATTCTAATGCAATTGATTATTTTAAGAGAAACACGTCTTCTAGAATAATCTGAGTAAACTATCTTGTCCTGGTTCCAGCAGATTATTTGGCTTTACATTGTAGACTGCAGGAGACCAGATACTGCTGGTCAGTTTTAAGAATTGCATGTTGAGAAGGTGGGAGTTACCTGAGCAGTCTCTGCATGAGCTTTATGGAGCTGTCCTTTCTTTGTTAGCAACACCACAAGAGTAACACATATTGACAGTAACCCTTGAATTGTCTGGTTAATTTTTGCCACTGTTAGATCTTGCTTTAAAATTTTCATATTCCCTTCTTCAAAAACTAAATGCAAGTCACAGATTTTAAGCCTTCCCAAACAAAGAAGTTTGAAGCCATGGGGAGAAAGTGGTTTCCTTTAAGTAATATGTTTGTTGCTTTTACACCTTTGTTTTTCAGGCAGCACAGTCAGTGCTAATTTCTTTATTTGAACTCAATACCCCAGAGTTTACAATGTTATTAGGAGCTTTACCAAAAACTTTTCAGGATGGTGCTACCAAGCTTCTTCATAATCACCTTCGAAACACTGGCAATGGAACCCAGGTATCTGCCGCTTTCTTACTACCCTAGCATGCCATCGTGGGTGTTGGCACTCGTTGCTTTCTTTTGCGTGAAGTAAACTTGATCCTGGTGTATGCTCTCAGCATTTGCGTCCGGCAGTATTCCCTGAGCAGGTTTAAACGCTGTCCGGGAAAGCCACAGAGCCCCTGCTGGAATGTGTGTGCTGTGGAGTAGTGCAGATTGATAATCAGAGTGTGAGTGGAAAGCAGTGTGAGCGACAATACGTGAGGGCAGCGGTCTCCGGAGCCTGCAGCATCAGGACACGCTCTGCACAGAGCACAGTCCCCAGGGGAGGTCGAACAGAGAGGCCTGTTCCAAGCTTAGCAAGCAGGTCCCCCAGAGAGCAGTGATCTTAAAAATGTGCTCACATTTAATCGTTACAGGCTTATCAATCCCTGTGTGTTTAGATACAAAGAAATAAGATATGTGTTTGAAGAAATAAGATATGGATAATGAAACATGATAGTACTAATTTTACTTATGTGTTTATCTACAGGATATTATATTAAATCGCCTACATAATATGCCTAGAAAATTGTATCAAAAGGTTTTTTCAATCCAAAGACTGCTTTACTTGTTTGTTTATGCATTTGGAAGGCAGATACAGAGCTGGTACCCTTTGGCATGGGCACACCAGCAACCCATTTGGGCACCAATTTGAATCCCAGGCCCTCAACTTCTATTCCCACTCTCTGCTAATGTACCTGGAAAAGCAGCAGAGAGTGGTTCAAGTGCTTGGGCCCCGCACCCATATGGGAGACCCAGGAGATGTTCCTGGCTGCAGATGGGCCCAATCTCTGCCTTTGAAATAGATAGATAACTTTTTTAAATGGAGGGGGCCCTGGTGCGGTAGCCTAGGGACTAAGTTCTCACCTTGTATGCGCTGGGATCTCATATGGGTGTCGGTTCTAATCCCAGCTACCCCACTTCCCATCCAGCTCCCTGCTTGTGGCCTGGGAAACCAATACAGAACAGCCCAAAGCCTTAGAACCCTGCACCCACATGGGAAATCTGGAAGAAGCTCCTGGCTTCGGATCAGCTCCGCTCAGGCCATTGTGGCCACCTAGGGAGTGAATCAATGAATGGAAGATCTTCCTGTCTATATCTCCTTCTCTCTGTATATCTGACTTTCCAAAAAAAATATAAATCTTTAAGAAAAAAAAAATGGAGAAGAGATTGCAGAGAGAGAGGAGGTGAAAGATGAAGAAAAATCTACCATTTGCTGGTTTGTTGCCTAAATGGCAGTAACAGTGGGTGCTGAACCAAACCAGGAACTCTGTCCAGCTTCCCAGCATGGGTGGCAGGGTCCCAAGCACTTGGACCATCGCCTGCTGCTTCTCCTGTTGTATTAGCAGGAAGCTGGATTAAAAGCAAAGCACCCATGACTTGAACCTATGCCTCAACATGGGATCCTGGAATTGTATATGTAGTTTGGGCTTGCCATAATGCCAGCCCCCGTTCAGAGTTTTAACATGGGAGCCCTTTGATGACAGATAAAGGAAGATGTAGCTGCAATGAACCCTGAAGGTTAACAGTTATCTGAGAGCAATTCCTATGAACCAAAGTCAGTTATCTTTTATAAAGAAGAGGGGATTATTTCATTATCCTTAAGAGATGAATGGACTCATAATAGTATACCCAGGGGACAAGTGAGGCATAGCAGTTTAAATGGCAGTTGGTACTCCCACATCGCGTATTGGAAAAGCTGGGGTTTGAGTCTAGCTTTGCTTCTGACTACGGTTCCCTGCTGATGGACACTCTGGGAGGCAATAGGTGATGGCTCAAGTCCTTAGGTCCTTGTGGCCCATGGAGAATATGTAGATGAAATCCTTATTTTCTGGCTTCTGACTTCAGCCTGCGCCAGCTACATCTTTTGAGGGCATTTGCGGAGTAGTGTACCGGTGGTTGGGGGAGATCTGAGCCAGTTGGTGAATAGCTATCTGTCTCTACTTTTTAAATTTCAAACAGTAAAAAAATGAAAATAATAATATGGCTAGATCTGACTCTTGTGTCTTGGCGTCTGTAAAAGTCATTTGTAAAGCAAACTCAAGGAAGAGTAAGACGTGGCATTCCATTTCCTTGGAAGAAGGAAATGGGCTCAGAACGGTACTTAATATAAAACTATTAGTTTAGGATCATGTTAGGGCCATGAAGAAAAGGATGTTGATAGTATTAGAGAACTAGGAGCAAGAAAGAGAACAGCAAAAGACAAGTTAGATTTCTGAATGAGAACTTTTCCCCCATAAACCAAACACAGTATTTAAGTGCTTAAAATACCGCCCTGTAAACATGATTTGTTCATATACTTCAACCCCGTAGTTGTATGGCTTCTTTAAGTGTAATAGTCATGGTTAATATTTACCTGTCTCCTTCCACTAGAATTCCATGGGGAGTCCTTTGACGAGGCCAACACCACGATCACCAGCCAACTGGTCCAGTCCTCTCACTTCTCCTACCAACACATCACAGAATACTCTATCTCCAAGGTAAAATAATAATAACAATAATAATAATTTTCCGTGATGATTTGTATCTGCAGATTACCATTCTTAGATGGCCCCCGGGGAAGTGTTTAAACCCTGTGCTCTTTGTAACCACTACTCGTATCTGTTGTTGCAGAATGAAAACAACGACAGATAGCATCTAGACAAACATAGACATACAGTAAATTTTTATTTATTTTATTTTTATTGGAAAGTCAGATATACAGAGAGGAGGAGAGACAGAGAGGAAGATCTTCCATCCGATGGTTCATTCCTCAAGCGACCGCAACAGCCGGAGCTGCACTGATCTGAAGCCAGGAGCCAGAAGCTTCTTTCCAGTCGCCCACATGGGTGCTGATCCTAAAGCTTTGGGCTGTCCTCTACTGCTTTCCCAGGCCACAAGCAAGGAGCTGCATGCGAAATGGGGCTACCAGGATTAGAACCGGCATCCAGATGAGATCCTGGCACTTGCAAGGCAAGGAATTTAGCCACTACACATCCGCACCGGACCCGCAAATTTTTATTTATGTGCAGTGAAATTTGAATTTGATATAATTTCAGATGTTACAAAATATTCACTTGAGCTTTTCAATCATTAAAAATGTTTAAAAAAAAAAGTTCTTGTCTTTGAAGCTATTTGTAGGACCCGACGTGATGGCTCAGTGGCTAAATCTTCTGTGAGTGCTGGGATCCCATATGGGCGCTGGTTCATGTCCCAGCTGCTCGGCTTTGATGTATACTAAAATAATTGTGACATAATTTGAAAATATTCTCTTACACCCAGAATGTAGACAAAAACAACATTCAGGTAAATTCTCACCAGAAATTAATCTGGAGCCACCTGTAGTTTGCTGACCGTTCGATAATTGAACATTTTTGAAGAAGGACAAACTGTTCAGGCTAGAATAATTGCTGTGACCCTGGGGAACCTGTTGTAGGCTAAGGAGTTGACTAGCGCTCCATAAGCTGAGCACTACAGGGGGTGGGCTTGGGGCTAGAAGCACCTGGTCTCAGCTGTAGCCAATCTGCTAATGAGGGTGTGGGGTAAAGCATAAACAAGAAGTAGGTGAAATGTCAAGAGAGAGGCAATAAAGGGAAGCCTCTGAGAGGCTTCGAGAGACTTCCACCATCCCTGTCCTCCAGTCGGGACCTCAATCCCTCAGACCCCTCTCTGCGTCCCCCATTACTCGCGTGGCGGGCCGTAACAAATGGCGCCTAACGTGGGGCACAGTACGAAGGACTTCTGAGGGACCCCCGAACCTATGAAGGTAAGTTTAGAATTTAAAAATTTTGCAGGGGCATAACTGATTTCATCCCCAGACCCTCGACCCTCTCCCTGCGCTTGGGCACGAGGGACAATCTGAGGGACCCCTGGAACTCTGGAGGGGCATAATTAGTTTCATCCCCAGACCTTCTCCCCATTCGGGGCACGAGGGATAATCTGAGGGATCCCGGAAATCCGGAGGCAAGTTTAGGATTTAACTCTGGAGGGGCATAATTAATTTCATCCCCAGACCTTCTCCTCAACTTGAGGCACGAGGGACAATCTGAGGGACCCCGGAAATCTAGAGGCAAGTTTAAAAAATTTTTGCAGGGGCATAAGTAAAGTTATCATGGGGCAAGAACTTGCTAAAATGCAGGTAATTAAAGGAATCAGAGATCTGCTCCACTCACAAGGCACCGACACTAAGCTTAAGGCCTCACAGAGTTTCTCTGAAACTGTCTGCGACGCATTTCCATGGTTTGCTCTCATTGTAGTCACCTTCCTTCTCTGGCACTTGGCAAAAAGTACTTGGCCATCCTCTCAAGCAGTGGTGCGACCCTGCCGTAAAAATTATCCATTAGAAGGAGGAGAGAGCTGCAAACCAGGGTAAAAAAGGAGAAGGAACCCCAAACCAGACAAAGTCTGGAGAAAGTGCGCGAAGAAAATTCGCGGTCCTCTTCTGAGGAGGATGAAGAGGAAAAAGATGGAAGTGAGTTTGTCGAGGATCCTCCACCTGTAGAGTGTGTGCCAAGCAAAAATCTCTCTTGGACAGGCACAGAACCCTCTGCGCGGCCTGAGCCATTGGCGCCATCATATCTAGGCGCAGTTGTAAAAGATTTACAGGAGCAGCTACAGCGCCTATCCCATCAGTTGAGGCAGGAACAGAGTGGATGCACTGTTGGGGCTTGCACTGGACCCCTGCTTTCAAATTCTCTTTCAGCTGTGGAACGTGGGGTTCAGCAAGCACAGGAGCAGAGAGACCCTGAGGCAGCTACCCTTGCTAGGCGCTTTGCCTTCCCAGTAGTTTAGGTAGAAGATCAGCAGGGGCAGAGAATCAGGCAGCACCTGGCACTGTCCTTTAAGGACATAAAGAATCTGAGGGATGCTGTTGCCACGTATGGCCCATTGGCCCCCTTCACTGTTTCCATGATTGAAGCCTTGGCACCTACCAATTTGACCCCGGCTGATTGGAAACAGCTCTGCAGGGCCACTCTGGATGGGGGCGATTTTCTAATGTGGAAATCCGAGTTCTATGCGCTTTGCCTTGACACAGCACGGCAAAATGCCCAAGCAGGCTTTCCTGAGAGAAATCATGATATGTTGACAGGAGATGGGAATTTTGCTAATGTACAGAATAAGCTTAATTATGACCCAGGTGTTTATGCTCAGACTGCTGCTGCTGCAGTAAGGGCCTGGAAGTCTTTATCACCAAAGAGCTCGCTACATACACATCTCTCCAAAATTGTCCAAGGTCCAAACGAGTCTTACCAGGCATTTGTAGATCGCCTACTGGTAACTGCAGGTAGGGTATTCGGTGATGAAGATCAAGCCATGCCTTTCGTAAAGCAATTGGCATATGAAAATGCCAACAAATGGTGCCAGGAGGCAATTAGACCTTGGAAGCATAAACCCCTTAACGTGTATCTTAAACTTTGTAAGGACATCGGGGAAGGACAGATAATGGGTGCAATCATTGCAGAGGCATTGCATGGTGGCACCACCATAGGCTCAGGGGCCCACATGAAACAGGGATGTTTCAAATGCGGCCGGCTAGGGCATATCCGTCGGAACTGCCCGTTCCAGGGTCGTGCACAGGCTCCTGTTAAAAGGGACAGGCAGACCCCAGGAGTATGTCCCCGATGCCATCGTGGGAAACATTGGGCAAATGAATGCAGGTCCAAGATAGACTTCTCCAGGCAGCCGTCTCTGCCGGGAAACGGGAACAGGGGCCAGCCCCGGGCCCCGCAAGCACCAATGTACGGGGCAGCGATTCAGTTTGTCCCTCAGGGACAAAGGCCATTCATGACCTTGTCCGAGGGAGCCCAGGCAGCGGAGGATGGAACCTCCACACCACCTCCTACATCGTATTGACACCCCAAATGGGGGTACAGGCTATTCCCACAGGAATTTATGGGCCACTACCCCCTGACACTGTAGGGCTTCCGCTGGGACGAAGCAGCACAGCCTTGAAAGGAGTTCACATTACCCCAGGAGTGACTGATGCAGACTATACAGGAGAAATTAAAGTTTTTAGTCAGTGTTCATGAGGGAGTTACAGTTTTGCCCCAGGGGACACAAATAGCACAGTTAGTGCTGCTCCCCATGGTGAAGTCAGATAATGTTTGTAGGGCTGGACAGAAGAAAACAGGGTTTGGTTCCATTGGTGATGTCTCTATTTATTGGGTTGCTGATATGGCAAGCCGCCCTACTTTGGAGTTGAGTATAGAAGGAAAGAAATTTACTGGAATCCTAGACACTGGTGCCAACACCACTCTTATTTCACAGAAATATTGGCCCCCAGGTTGGCCACCCTGCAAGGATTGGGGATGACCCAAAACCCCCTAGTTAGCTCCAGACCACTGGCCTGGAGGGATAAGGAAGGAAATGGTGGCCATGTTACTCCCTATGTGGTACCAGGCCTACCAGCTAATCTATGGGGGAGAGATATTTTGCAACAAATGGGGGCAGTATTACTATCTGGTCAGGAATTAGCTATGCAGCAGATGAAGAGGTATGGCTACATTCCTGGGAAACGTATAGGGAGAAAGCTGCAAGGAGTTACTCAACCAATCTCTGTGGACCCTAAGAAGGATAGGAAGGGAGCTAGGGCATTTTCCCTAGAGGCCATTGTGGCAGCTGAGGTTACTCCACAGAAGATTACATGGAAAAGTTCTCAACCCGTTTGGATTGATCAATGGCCCCTTTCTACAGAAAAAATAGCCACTGTTAAGGAAATAGTTCAAGAACAGCTAACTGCTGGACATATTGTCCCTTCCACGTCACCGTGGAATACACCTATTTTCGTGATTAAAAAGAAATCAGGGAAGTGGAGACTTTTACAGGATCTCAGAGCAGTGAATGCTACCATGGAGATAATGGGATCACAGCAGCCAGGATTGTCACTGCCATCTGCCATTCCAAAAGAATTTAAAATAAAAAAGGGGAACCTGTTGTAGGCTAAGGAGTTGACTAGCACTCCTTAAGCTGAGCACTACAGGGGGTGGGCTTGGGGCTAGAAGCACCTGGTCTCAGCTGTAGCCAATCTGTGCTAATGAGGGTGTGGGGTAAAGCATAAACAAGAAGCAGGTGAAAGGTCAAGAGAGAAGGCAATAAAGGGAAGCCTCTGAGAGGCTTCGCGAGACTTCCACCATCCCTGTTTCCAGTCTGGGCCACAATCCCTCAGACCCCTCTCCGCGTCCCCCATTACTCACGTGGCGGGCCGTAACACTGGGTGAAGGAACGCAGAGGTTAAGGGACATGCCTGTTAGCCTGTTAGAGCTGCCATGTTTTGTTTTCTTACCTGTGCGTTGGGAAATATACCTTTTCTTATCTGGTATTTATTCTCTTAGTCATGTCAGAAGTCTTTTTATTTTAAAATTGTACATAAATAAAAGTTATTGTCTTTTTTTATAGTGCATTTGATTATGACACAGAAAATATGAACTCTGAAGATATTTACAGCTCTCTTCGAGGTGTTACTGAAGCAATACAGAATTTCAGCTTCCGTAGTCAAGAAGATATGAATGAGCCGTTGAAAAGGGATTCTAAACGAGAGGACGGAGATTCAGTGAGTATTTGATGTTCTTAGATGGCATGCAATTTCCTTTTCCACTAAAAGTATGACTCCTAAACTTCGCTTTCTGTTATTTGTAAATACTTCTCTTGACATCCAACACTATCCGCATATTTACTTGAGAATCTCATGGCACTCGCCACATGGCAGGCACTGTTTTCGGTGTTAGATTTGAAAGACAAAGTTGCTGCTCGCAAATTCCTTCTAAATTTTCATATAGAAATGATTCCTATGAAGATTTAGGTCACAGCATGCCTCAGCGGAAAGTGAGCCTGTTTCTGAAACCTAAATAAAGTAATAATAAATGTACCATGAAAGATATAGCAATGTAAAGACCTGCAGATAGCAGTAAACTCTGCACACCAGCGTATATTTAGAGCATTCTGAAAGAAAGATAGAACATGGGCAAGACCACTTGACTCTTGTTAAGACAAAATAAGTCATATTTGTGATTTCCTGTCTCAAACACTTGGTAGCAGAAACAGGTTGATAAAAATCATTGCTCAGTTGAGACTCGGTTTTGTTTTTCTAAACATGGCATGATACAGGATTTTGGTACAGGTTGGCTTAAATCCTAGTTCAAGGCAGTCATTAGCTAGTTGTCATTTCTAGTCTTCAGTGTCTTTGTTATGAAATGACGTATTACCTACCTTACAAGTTACCATGAGTACGGTAAATCATGATTCCAACCAGTCCAACTTCATATCCATCCAATTCACCTGCCTCTTCAAACTGATCCTCTCCCCTAGAGTTGTTCTTCCATATTGCAAATAATGTCAATATTGGTTACTCAAAAACTTTAGGCTAAGGAATTTTGAGTTTTTTTTCTTATCCTCTGTAGTCAGGACTCTATTGACTATACTTTCAGAGGGTATCCAGCATCCAACCACTTCTCTTTCAGGGCTGTCTGTTTGGGTCAAGCCATCATTATCATCCTTACCATCATCTCTCTCACCTACATTACTGAATTAGGAATCTAATTGGCCTCCCTGATTCTGACCTCCTGTAGTCTGTCTTCACTCCTCTGAGAACAACTATGTGAACAAATGCCAAAGTTCAGGCCCGGCACGATGGCACAGTGGTTAAGGTCCTCACCTTGCACGCCCGGGATCCCATATGGGCACTGGTTCTAATCCCAGCAGCCCCGCTTCCCTTCCAGCTCCCTGCCTATGGCCCGGGAAAGCAGTCGAGGATGGCCCAAAGCTTTGGGAGCCTGCACCTGCATGGGAGACCCAGAAGAGGCTCCTGGCTTTGGATCAGCATAGCATTGGCCATTGTGCTCACTTGGGGAGTGAATCATCTTCCTCTCTGTCTCTCCTCTCTGTATATCTGCCTTTCCAATAAAAATAAAAAATCTTAAAAAAAAAAAAAACAAAGGCCAAAGTTCACATGATGGACACTGTCCTTTACCTCCCTACCTTGTCTGCTAACGATTTGTCCTTGTTCACGCTCTTCACACCACATTGCCCTGCTGGTTCCTTGAACTTTCCCAGCGTGTTCCTGTCTCCGAGTCTTAGTGTTGGCTCTTCCTTGCCTGACACGTTCCTCCTCTGGAGAGGTGCCTGGCTAATTAACTCACTTCTTTTCAGTCTTTGCTCAAATGGCTTCTCCGCAAACCATACCCTGCTCAGTGTGCAAACACCTCCTGCACCCCAGCACTCCTGATTCCTTTAATATCACACTTTGTGTCCCGTTTGTAAATCAACTTCCAAATGTTTTTATTATTTCCTTTCTTCCCTCTAGAATATAAACTCCATGAGTATAGAACTCATTCTCCTTTTTGTTCACTGAGTATCTGTTCCCAACACCAAGGACAATGCCTGCTTGCATTAGGTTCACATGAAATATTTGAAGAAAATTCGTTCAGTGCCTAGCAGATAGCTTGTCACATTCTCGCACAAGTTACCTGGTAGATGATTATGATTTTGATTAGTATTAATATTTTGGTAAGTCTATTAATGTATCCAAAGCTCCATCAGCATTCTTCCAAATGTTATCAAGCGCTTTACACTTTTTAAATTTGACTTTCTTTTACTTTGTTGATATGCTGTCATTGTATGATATATTGTCTTGATAGCGGAATCTGGGGTCATGTTTAGCCTAGCCTGTAAGGTGCCTGTGTCCTACATTGGAGTACCTGGGTTTGCTTCTAGATTCTGGCTCCTGACGCCATATTCCTACTAATGCAGACCCTGGAAGGCAGCGGGTGATGGCTTGAGTAAATGAGTTTCTGCCACCCACATGGGAGACCTGGACAGAGTTCTCAGCTTTGGCTTTGGCCCTGGCCACTGCAGGAACCAGCCGAAGGGATTTCTCAAGGCTAGCATTGTGATGCAGCCTGCCATAAGTGACTCCAACATCCTATGTGAGTGTTGGTTTTGAGTACTGGCTGCTCCACTTTTGATTCAGCTCTGTGCTAATGTGCCTGAGAAAGCAGTAAAGGAAGTCTAGACCAAGTGCCTGGACCATTGTGACCACTTAGGGAGTGAGCCAGCAGAGCAGTGATCTACCTGTGTCTGTGTGTATGACTGTTGATTGCTTCTCCTCTCTCTCTCTAAACCTGCCTTTCAAATAAATAAATAAATCTCTTTTGTTTTAAAGCAACAACAGCCAGAGCTGAGCCAATCTGAAGCCAGGAGATTCTTCAGGGTCTCTCAGACAGGTGCAGAGTTAAAGGCTTTGGGCCATCCTTTGCTGCTTTCCCTGGCATGAACAGGAAGCTATAAAGGAAGTGGAGCAGCCAGGACACGACCCAGTGCCCATATGGAATACCAGCCCCTAAATAAACAAATCTTTAAATGGGGAAAAAGGGTTTTTCTTCTCACTCTCTGGTTTTACCTAAAATAAGTCCTTTTTTGTGTTTTTCAGTGAAACCAGGCAGCTTTTCGTTGAATATTGCTAATGAATGTCCCTTCGTGTCTAGCTGGTCACAGTGTATTGTGTTGTTTGGTCAAGCCAAGGCAAGCAGCTGTGATATTCATTAGAAGCAACCTTCTTTTATGATTGTTGCTTGCTGTTACAACTATGGGTGCCCATGTCTTACACTGTGAGCTTGAGCATTTTGAATATAGATTTTAATTCATTACATTGATTGTCGTTACTTAAATTTTATCCCTAATTTTTGCTTTACCAAAAAAAAAAGGACATTTTAACCGGTGGAAAGCTTCCTTTAGGGTACCTGCAAACAAGCTCATTCGCTATGCTTTTTCCCCCTTCCCGTCCATAGATGTGTGGTGGTCCTGGGATGGCTGACCCGAGAGCAGGAGGCGATGCTACTGACTCCGGCCAAACAGCTCTTGATAATAAAGCACCCTTGCTGCACTCAGCTCCTGCTCACTCCTCTCCACGCTCCCGAGACTATAACCCGTATAACTATTCCGATAGCATCAGCCCCTTCAACAAGTCTGCACTCAGGGAAGCCATGTTTGACGACGACGCGGACCAGTTTCCCGACGGTAGGTTCTGGGCCCCACTGCCACTGTTGTGTCATTGGTAAAGCAGGTCGCACACAGGTCACTGCATGTACTCTGACACTGGCACTCGTTGGAAAGCCAAGGTGTCTGGGATGGGGATGCTTCCCCCGTCTTCTAGGAGCTCATGTCTACTGCATCGGTAGTTTTGTTTCCCACAATAAGAAACAGGGCAGTTATCTTGGTGATCCTCAACAATCTGAAAAGCTTGAGTGACCTTCCAGAAACTGCTGTTGCTTCTAAAAGTAGTTCATCTCCAGACAGCACTTGTTCAGTCCTGAAATTTTTATTCCAGAATCACAAGAACCTTTGAAGAGATACCCATTCTTCCCAATGGCCCTTTATTTATTTATTTATTTATTTATTTATTTATTTATTTGATGTTTTCCATGATAGGATTTTGTAGCTGCAGGGATTCATCCCTCCCCCCTTATTCTTCATCCCCATCTTCCCCTCCTACCATTTTACCCCGTATTATCACAACAGAACAGTCCCTAAGTATAAGATACAAGTTTAACTTTCTGATGTTTAAATGTACCATGACATGATAAGCACAAAGGTATAAAACCTAGTATCATAGTGTAGAGGTAAATTTATAAGTGTCATTGAAAAGCTTTTGTTTGGAAGTAGAGATACATAGTGCCTCATACCTTTAATTCCCAGTAGGCTAGTCTCCCTCTTTTACAGTCCACATATTAGAATATACACACACTCATGCACATATATATACACTATGTCAGAGAGAATATATATTTATGCTTTTACAATGGCCTTTTAATTGTTAGGAATTAAAGTCATGAGGTAGGCATTCTAGCACAACTGAAGCCCCGCTGTGGAATGTCTGCCTCCCATGGCAGCGTTGGTCGGACTCTGCCTCTGATCCTGCTTCCTGCTAACACATTCTGGAAGGAGCAGCTTGTTCTGCAAGTGCTTCAGAGCTGGGCGGCGCTCCAGATCCAGGGCTTACAGCCATTTGGGAAGTGAGCTGGCAGACGGGAACTCTTTGACTTTCTCTCTGGCTCTCTCTGGCTCTCTCTCTACCCTTGAAGTAGATGAAATTAAGCAAATAAATCTTTATTTAACTTTTTTAAAGAGTACATTCAGCAACCTACTTCTGGGTCAGGGTTTCATAGATAGCAAATAAATGAATACAACTTAATAAACTGATGATGGAATATAAAATGTTTCAGCTGTTTTTAGCATTTGGTCTATTTTTTCCTTATGAGTCATATAATCCATTAATATTTTAACATTTCAGCACCAAATAATAATATTTGACCTAATGCAGATAAATTTGAGAGTCCCTTTCAATGCACAGTGGGATACCTAGCTTGTATACAACCCAATCACAAAAATTAGAAATACTTTAACATCCTATGATGAGGAGGAAATCACAACTTAAGTTTTAACTTACTAAAAACAAATATTTTTGTATTGAGGCAGAAATACATACATAGATAGAGAGAGACAAATATATACATACATATATATAGAGAGAGAGAGGGAGGGAGAGCGAATGAGAGCGAGACAAGCAAAGCTCAAGCTCCAACAGCTGATTGATTCCTCAGATGCTGACAGTGGCTGGGCAGGCTGGGCTGAGAGCGCGTTGCAGGTGGGTAACAGGAATCCAACTCAACTCTCACTCTTGCCTCCCAGTAAAATCTGTTTTTTCCAGTTTCTGTTGTGCTGAAATACAATGAAATTGATCACCCTAACCATTTACTGTACAAATGAGTGGTGTTAAACACAATCATACTGTTGTACAGCATCACGTGTTGTAGATGCCACATTAATGAAGTATAAAATGGAGTGTTTCTGACCTTATGAGTACATTATCTCATCACAGCATAATGCTTGATTGACTTCTAAAACAGCCTTTTGTGTTACGTGTTTGAAGATAGATCAGCCCTCAGTTAACCCACACTAGTAGTTCCAAGTTTGACATTATTATCAAAGTCGCTCATACCTTTTTTCACTATCCTCTGTTGCTATTTCAATTTTTCTCCCCCGTCAATACAAAAGCGTCCCTTTTTGATTGCTTTATTTGAGAGAGAAAGAGAATCTACTCCCCCCCACAAGTTCACTCCTGAAATGCTTACGACAGCTGCAAGAGCTGGGCCGGGTGGGCCGTGGCCAATGACGAGAGCCACACCATGATCCAGAGCTCCGTCCACCTGGCTGGCAGCAACCAAGCACTTGAACCATCACCACTGCCCCGCAAGGTCACATGAGCAGGACTGGAACTTGAACCTAGGCAGACCAGCCTGGGTCATGAACATTCTAACCAGTGTCTCAACTGCTAGGTCAACCACTCACCCTCTTTTATTGTTTCCGAAGTGTAACACTTGGCTGCAGTAGTTATTTGGTTCAAGTCAGAATGTGTGCAAAAGGAGATAATTCCAAAATTCTGAGATTTACTAAATATGTTCCTTGATCAAATGTTTCTACATACATTACAGGTGCACATTTTAGTAAGCCTGAAACCAGCCCACTAGTATCCATATTTAATGATGGCCTTTGTAAGATTGGCTGGGGACTATAGTAATTAATATACACCTCTAATAAGGAGAAAGTATTACCTTTTTCAAAATCAGAGTGGATGTCCATATTTGTCAGTCCACATAGGAAAGTTAGTATTAGTGAGTCTGCTGTACTCCAGGTCCAGTTCCTCACCAGCACCTATTAGGTGGATATTGTTTTCCCATTTTACTGTTAAGAAGAATCAGCCTAGGCAATAATTCAAAACATGGCCCAGGCACAGGGAGGGTAGGAGGAGAGTTTTCTGTGACATTGCAAAGCCCATGTTCTTTTCAGAGTGGCACTCTGTGTCAGAAAGGGCTTATCTCATTTGTAGGATGTAAGTACTTCAGGGTTGTGACAGTTACTCATTTTCTCTTTCCCGTCACTCCTCTGTGCAGGCAAGGCATTTCTGGTTATCTGCTGGAACAATTACAAAGCTTCATTTCATGGCAGAGCGGACTGGCTTCCTTTGCAACAGGTGCTGTGAACTGCCTGCCTGCAGCTGAAAAAAATACGATCTTATCACAGTGCTGTTATGACATCTGTAGATGTCTGATCACTTACAGCTTCCCCAGAATGATTTTGGTGGGCTTTATGGAAAGTGTTTATCAGGCTGCAATAAGTTCTTATTGAGCCAGCAGTAATGGCTAAATATTGGTCTGCAGCATACTTTGTGGTTATTTCATTTCAGAGGAGTTAGAAAATGTGTGACAAACGCTCAAGGTACTTACTACCTGGCCTGGAGTTATCCTTTAGATCATCAGAAGAGCTTAGGAAGAACTCTGGTATTTTGTTAAGTTCTAACATGAACCTTGACCTTTACAAAAATTTTTCAGAGCACTAGCTGATTAACTAGTTGAAAAATGAGCAGTAAGTGTTCTTTAACACTTATAAAATCCATGGGTTGTTATTTGCACTCTGCAGTAGTGGGCAAGGCCACTGTGGAGCATGGCAGTTAAGATGCTGCTTAGGACACCTGTGGTTTGCCCAGAGTGCCTGGTTTCAAGTCCAGACTTGGCTCGCAGTCCCAGTGTCCTGCTGTTGTGTACCCCGGGAGGCAAAAGGGGGGACCCAAGTAGCTGGCTCCCTGCCATCCTCATGGAAAAGCCAGAAATAGTTCCTGCATTTGACCGGGCTGATCCCTGGATGTTGGGATCTGGGGAGCAAACAGCAGATAGGAGCTGCTTTATCTCTTTTCTGTTTCTCTGTCCCTACCTTTCAAATACAAAGAGAAATACTTTAAGCAATATATTCTGCTTTTTTCTGTCAAACCTTATTTCAGCATCATCGGAATTCTGTCGTTGCTAGTGACCACAGAATTCTAGTCCATGGAAGGAGTGGAATGAGTAGATAATTACAATTTTTATTGTTAGTACAATAACTGACTCAGCAACAAGTGATGAGAAAAACCACTGGTTAAAAGGTTAATGGGAAAATGTGCTGTATTAGGGTAAGATTATCACCGTTTAAATCCATTGATAGTTAATAGCCTCCTGCTGAAGGTGGAATACTAGGCCATTGTGAGCCGCATGGCATGACGTCATAAAAAGTGTACTGAAGTATGTGAGGAAGAAGTGACACATTTGGGATTTGCTAGAAACACTTCCAGGAAAAGGAAGAATGGGCAAAAACGAGGTAAGGATGGTAAAATCTTAATCACCATTAAATCTGGTGATGGGTATATTAGCTTCATTATGCCAGTCTGTCTGGTATATAGTTTCATGATGGAAAAGTTTAGCTAGTATTGATATTTTGGAGTTGACAGAATAGAAAAATTACTGGAAGTCGTTTTCTTCATCTCTTTCACAACCAGTGTTGCTTATGTCTGTGTTTCATTCATACACCTCTAAGAGTGATCCTGTAGAGTTAACTACTTAACCTCCTGTCCCTCTGACAGATCTCTCCCTAGACCATTCTGACCTAGTTGCAGAATTATTGAAGGAACTGTCCAACCACAATGAACGTGTGGAAGAAAGAAAAATTGCCCTGTATGAACTCATGAAACTGACACAGGAAGAGTCCTTCAGCGTCTGGGATGAGCACTTCAAAACAATATTGCTCTTACTGCTTGAAACCCTTGGGGATAAAGAGGTAAATGACAGGATATGTAAACAGTGCCCTCTCTTTCCTGTCGCCTTTACGTTGCCTGTCAGCCGGGTACTACGCAGATGCCAACACTGGGAAGAAGGATCTGTTTTACTGCTGCTTTCTGCATGAAAAGTGAAAGGTTGCTAACTGCATTTTTTACATGAAAATACTGGTTAATTTCTCACATTCAGATTAGTTCAGAAGCAAAACTTCCTTTTATAGTCAGAATATGATGGGTTGTTTTCATGTTTCAACTTAATAAGTATGATAGAAATTTCCACTTGAGATGTAAAATAGAAGTATAGAATATACTGTGTGCTTTATGCATATATCTGCAGTGCCCCCCCAAGACCTTAAGTTGCAAAAATTAAGACTGTTGAGGTTTTTTTTCAACCCAAAATATTGAAACTATTAAAAGCATTTAAATGTTTCTTCTTAGCCAACCATCAGGGCTTTGGCATTAAAAGTTTTGCGAGAGATCCTAAGGCATCAACCAGCAAGATTTAAAAACTATGCGGAACTGACTGTAATGAAAACATTGGAAGCACACAAAGACCCTCATAAGGAGGTGAGTTGCCTGACTCAGTCTTTGATTTCATGAAACATGTGAATGATGTTAATCGATGTTACTCGGGTTCTTTTTATGAGTACATCACATCACTGATTGAAGTGTGATGATATATTCTTTTTTAATTTTTTTATCTTATTTTGTATAGTTTTGCTTATTATTTGCATGGTTGAGAGAAATACAGGCCCGTGTGGGCTTCCGACTAGGGTGAGCAGGGTCAAGGCGTGGAGGAAGGTGAGTGTTTGGGTGTTTCAATTCTTTTTCTTTTTTGGCCCCTTGTATCCACAAGTAGTCCTGGAGGAGGGCCTCTTCTTGTTGACAGACGATGTCAGCACACAGGGATGGGCAGCCTCTGATGACATCTTAGAGACCCCGTTATGGAGAAGAGTGTCCCAAGATTGCTACTTGAGTGGCTTTGATAGTTCTGAGACAGTGTCAGCTTTATTGCACCAAGGTTGAGAGAATCATTCCAAGATCAAGTCCACCTTAGTGCATTCACAGGCCCAGGAACATGCTACAAAGCTTGGCTGGGAGAGTGCTTTCCATCCTCTTGATGATCAGGCACTCCGTGTCCTCTGCTGGCCTAGGTGAGCTGGGCATCGTGTGTATCTGAGCATGCTGTCCACTATACACGCATTAGCAGCTAAAGAAGCACAACCCCTATAGGTGCAACCCAAGGTCAAACCACGTATGTTATAATAAGCCCTGTGACTGGAGTTTGAATTCCCCAAGAAACCTTACCTAGAGTGACCTCTTATGTACAGCAGCAAGTGCAGGGTCAGGTTTGGTCTGCCCCCTGCGCCAGCCAATGAACATACCAGTGGATACAGCTGCCTGGTCAGTCCCAGCCCCAGCCCCATCTCTCTTCTGAACCAGCCTAGTCAGAGCAACCCCAATAATCCCCACTAGGCCCGCCTCTAGCCCTGGTTTTTGCATGTGCTGGTAGGTACTGCAGCATAGCCGGTCCATCCCGCAACCTCATTTGGCTACTCTCGTGCATACTCATGGGTGCTGGGGCCTATTCCCATCCCCAGATCTTGGACCTGCTAGTAGATACTGTGGTCCAGCCTCACATGCCTTGTACTGAGTCCCATAACTTGCCAGCAGGTGCTGTGGCCTAGACCAGCTTTCCTGTAACCATTCTGGCTCTCCTGTGTACCAAGCAGGTGCAGCAGTATGGCCCATCCCCAGTGCCAACTCTCACATTCACCAATGGATGCAGACCCACTTCTAGCCCTAATCTTGCATGTGCCAGCAGACGCTCTGACCCAGTCTGTCATGACCAACATCCATTTCAATATTTGCTGACAGGTACTGCAGCCTGGCCCAGCCTGGCACACTCCCAATCCCAACTCTGACCAACTGTAAGAGCCTAGCCCTCAACCTGGTCCACACTCCTCAGTGCCCCCACAGGCCCTAGCTGTCAGTGTGAAACATAACTACTCCAGGGAATGTAGATCATTGATAAGCACAGAGCTTGCACAGTTGTTAACCTCAAGGCAGGCTAAACCAGGAAGAATGATCAGCCTCAAGTTTTTTGTTTGTGTGTTTTGTTTTTTATGATGTATTCATTTATTTGAAAGGCAGAGTCAGAGAGGAGGAGAGAGAGAAAAAAGAGCCAGATGTTCCCACCCGCTGATTCTCTCCCCAGATGATTACAGCAGCTGGGACTGGGCCAGCCCGATTGTTAGGCCGTCTTCCACTGCTTTCCATTGCTAGATTGCATATGGAGCAGCCAGGACTCAAACTGCAACTCCAACGGGATGGCAGTGTTGCAGGCAGCAGCTTAATGCGCTGCACCGCAGCACCAGCTCCTAGCCTTACATCTGATGTAAAGATCTAGGGAAAATGCTAGAATAATCTCCCATCTTATCAGTTTGATTTCATTGTACAAGAAAACTTCAAAAAAGTTCATGGGAAATTGAACTTGAAAATAAGCTTTCTTTGAGTTAATACCAGGAAAACGTGAAATCCACTTATAGTTTTTTCATAATATGCATGTTTTGTTAACTTGTTGAAAATCCCTCTTATTGATGACCTCAGCTGGTATCTTGGACCACAAAGAAACCCCTAGGGTTATACTCTTGTGCCTGAAGGCTCTTTAAAAACCTCTGCATTTAAGAAATTTTTATATCACAAATATCTTAATTCGATTTTCCACAAGCTTTCTGATACCACATATATAAGTAACAGTGCCTCGATGGACCAAAAAAGGGTGGAAGGGATAGTTGTTACCACAAAAATGAAATGTTATTTCCTAACCGTGTGAAACACTCATGAAGTCAAGGAAACCCATTACACGGGACTCCATTCAACTCACAGCCTAACTAAGCCATAAAACTAGATTTTAGAAAGGATTGTGTAAATATATATATATTTTATAAAATTGAATTTTATAAAGGATTTTAACCAACAACAGTAGAAGACAGAGATGGTTTAATAAAGCCCCAAACATCCATCATCTCGTTTCAACAGTTGTGGGCATTCTGCCTATCTTTGCAAAGCAAATTTCAAATCTCATATTAAATGCTTCATGATGGACCTGGTACAGTGACTAACGTCCTTGCATTGAATGATCAAGGATCCCATAGGGGCACTAGTTCATGTCCTGGCTGCTCCACTTCCCAACCACTTCCTGCTTGTGGCCTGAGAAAGCAGTCAAGGACGGCCCAAAGCCTTGGGACCTGCACCCATGTGGGAGACCTGGAGAAGGCTCCAGGCTCTTGATTCCAGATAGCCTCAGCTCTGGCCATTGAGGCTGCTTGGGGAGTGAACCAGCAGATGGAAGATCTTTCTCTCTGTATCTCCTTCTCTCTATAAAATCAGCCTTTCCAATCAGAATAAAATCTTTAAAATAAGTAAATTAAATAAGTAAATGCTTCATGAAGCTTATACTTTTAAGGCACAGTATAACACATTAAGAGTTGCCTCCTGACTGTGTTGCCTTTTTGTTTTAGGTGGTGAGATCTGCTGAGGAAGCTGCATCAGTATTAGCCACTTCCATTAGTCCGGAGCAGTGCATCAAAGTGCTTTGCCCCATCATCCAGACTGCAGACTACCCAATTAACCTGGCTGCAATCAAAATGCAAACGAAAGTGATAGAGCGCGTGTCCAAGGAGACCCTTAACCTACTTTTGCCAGAAATTATGCCAGGCTTAATACAGGTAAGCAAGAAAGCTTAGAGCTATAAACAAACGCATTGGAGTTATTTAGATACTTTCCTGGCAGCTCTAATGGTATGATCAGGCCTCCCCTCCCCTCCTATACCTGATGTGCTAACTGTAATGGATCCACTTTGTCCTTAGAGAGCATTGGTGAAAGGTCCCTCTCATTTTGACGTCCTCACGTATGCCATTCGGTCTGTGGCACACTCATCAGCATCCACCGTGCCTTAGTGTATTCTTGTCACCCTCCAGGTCTCTGTCCCAACCCTTTTTCCTCAAGTGCTTTTGGAACCATCACATTGCAATTTACTCATTTCTCATAATAGCTCTTCCTGCCATGGGATTCCATAACTGATCTAGGAAGTGACTATCTGTGTCCCGTGGACACTGGTCCATGTTTACCTGGCCCATGCTCATCACGGAACACTGGATGCAGTCTTCTTTGCCACGTTACTGTGGTAGGAAAAGTTGAGCGGGAGGGAGGTTGCCGAGCACATAGAACTTAAACTTAGAACATTGTAGGATGCTAACTGTGCACTTCATATAATTTGGAGGTCCATATAGAAAAATACTTCCAGTAAGGAGGGTAAATAAAATGAGTACAGTGTGGTTTCTTTTGTTATGAAACATACATTTCTCATAGGAAGATGAGTGCTTATGTTTTAATAATTTGCACACAGTTTAGAAAGATAAAATGCTAACATTTTCAGTGGAACTGTATTCTCACTTTTCCCTAGGTAAAATGTATATATACACTCAGATAACTGAGTCAGAAATGCTTTATAGATAAGGTTTCTGTGCACGGTTAGAATCCAGAGACTCCAGGGAAGTATTTTACATAGTCAGGGTTCGCCTGAGGAAATAATGGCAGGGTGGCACAGATGTCGAGCGTAATTAGACTGCCTTATAGGATTTTCCTCACTGGCACAGCAAAGAATGTAGATTTTGTTAAGTAGCGAGGCATCAGCCTACTGTTCCACGCGGGTTAGTGTGGAGACTTTGCGTAGGCAGATGGGTCAGGGGGCGGTCTCCGAGTCAGAAAAGCACAGCTTGCAGGCCAATGAAGAAGCTGGAAGAGAGCAATCCGAGTGGTTGTGTTGTCGGGAAAGTGGAAGGAGAGAAGCAGGCTGTGCCTGAGCCGACTGAGGAGTGAACTGGGCTGGGCGAGCTCTCTCCTGAGTACACTGGTCTCCATTGAGAAGGTTGTTCCCTTAGATCCGTCCAGAGGGCTAACAGTGGACACTTCCCCCCAGGGCTATGACAACTCGGAGAGCAGCGTTCGGAAAGCCTGCGTCTTCTGCCTGGTGGCCGTTCACGCAGTGATCGGTGAGGAACTAAAACCACATCTCAGTCAACTCACTGGCAGTAAGGTAAGTCCGTGCTGCTTTGTGATAAAAACAGTGACCACAGCATAGTCTGCAGAGTTTAGGTCTGTGTGGTGTTAAGGGCAAGTTTGTTGCCCAGCTTTCTTTTTTAAAACTTACTGAAGAGTGAGACAAATAGGGAGCTCCTCTCTGCTGGTTTACTCCCCAAAATGTACACACAACAGCCGGAGCCAAAGACAGGAGCTGGGAACACGATCCAGTTTCCCCAAGGTAAGTGACAGGAAGCCGACTGCTTGAGCCATCACACTGACTCAACAGGGTTAGGAACTGGAGTCAGGGATCAACGCTAGGTCCTCTGATGGAGAGATCTAACCAGCATCTTTACTGCTAGGCTAACTGCATGCTGTCTGTTCAGCTTTTAGTAAGTCAGGCTTCAAGTAACTATCCTACTTTCTTGTTCCTATTTTTTTTTTTTTTTTTTTTTACTTTTAGCTGTTTATTCTCTCATTTGTCACTCAGGTGAAGTCAGCAGTTTGGTAGGTGATGGGTAAATTGTTGTGAAAGAACATGCCCTTTGTGTCTAGGTTTTTTGTTTTTGTTTTTTGTAATACCAGCTACTCTTTTTCCACTGTCACACCCAAGTTGTTACCCCCAAAGGACTGTATAATTAAGAATAAATTACGGGATGGGAGGCAGCACCATGGCATAGTAAGCTAAGCTTCTGCCTTTGGCACTGACATACCATATGGGTACCAGTTCAAGTCCTGGCTGCTCCACTTCCAATCCAACTCCATGTTTATTGCCCCGGGAAAATAGCAGAGGCCGGTTCAACTCCTTGGATCCACGTACCTTCGTGGAAAACCCAAAGGAGGCTCTTGACTCCTGGCTGCAAAACAGCTCAGCCCTGGCCATTGAGGCCATTTGGAAAGTGAACAAACCAATGGAAGATCTCTCACTTTATGTCTCTCTTTGTAGCTCCGCCTTTCAAATTAAAAATAAAATATTTATTAAAAAGAATAAATTTCTGTGGTATTTGTAAGTGAACTACCTTGTATCTCCAAAACTACGGAACATTTAACATTTGTTAATTTTCCTTTTAGAACTATGGTAACCAAATATTTATTATTATTCTTTTCTAGTCTCATTATTAAGTTCCAGATTCAAATACAATATTGACTTGACCTGTTCAAATAAAAATTGCTGGTTAGTCCTAAAACTTAACCAAACAAAGGCAAGCGTTTGGCACAGTGGTTAAGTTATCCCTTGAGACACCCATGACCCATGTTGGAATTTCTGCCTTCGTGTCCAGCTGCTACTGCCCTTCTGATCCAGCTTCCTGCTGGTGCATATGTTGGGAGGCAACAAATGATGGCTCAGTATTTGGGTTCCATGTTGGGACCCAGGGAGAGTTCCAGGCTCCTTGCTTCAGTCTGGCCCGGCCCTGACAGAAATAGCAGAAAATATCTATCCATTCATCTCTCTCTAATAAAATTGCATATTTTTAATTTAACAAGAAAAAATCTTTTTTTTTCTTTATTTTTATTGGAAAGTCACATTCACAAAAAGAAAGAGAGACAAAGATCTTTCCTGCATTGGTTCACCATCTAAATTGCCACAGTGGCTAGAGCTGAGCCAATTCAAAGCCAGGAACCAGAGCTTCTGCCAAATCTCATGCAGATGCAGGGGCCCAAGCACTTAGACCATCCTCCATGCTTCCCCAAGCCATAGTTGGGGAGCTGGGTGGGAAGTGGGGCAGCTGGGACTTAAACCAGTGCTCTTAGAGGATGTTGGCACTTGAAGGTGGGGGATAGCCAGTTACTGTCACACCGAGTCCCAGAAAAATAAATTCTTGTTTTCCTCATTTTATTGATAGTACCAGCACTTAGTAATATATTCCATAGAGGGCCAATGCAATGATGGTTATGGCCTATGAGCTGGTTAGAAATCAGCACTCACTTTCATTTAGTGTCCCAAAATTCTGTGATTGCCATTACTATATTAAATTATTTTTAAATAGCCAACGGCAGAATAAAATGCAATTGAAAATGAGCTCAGCTGCACATCTTGTATGAAGTGTCCTCACTTCAAGATTTAGGTAAACTTGGGCCCGGTGTGGTGGTGCAGTGGTTAAGGGGTCCTCACCTTGCACGCCCGGGATCCCATATGGGCGCCAGTTCTAATCCCGGCAGCCCCACTTCCCATCCAGCTCCCTGCCTGTGGCCCGGGAAAGCAGTCGAGGACGGCCCAAAGCTTTGGGAACCTGCACCCACATGGGAGACCCAGAAGAGGCTCCTGGCTTTAGATCGGCATAGTATCGGCCATTGCACTCACTTGGGGAGTGAATCATTGAACAAAAGATCTTCTCTGTCTCTCCTCCTCTCTGTATATCCACCTTTCCAATAAAAATAAAAATAAATCTTTAAAAAAAAAGATTTAGGTAAACTCTCATCCCAAGGTGAATATAGAATTATTTTGCAAGAAGGAGGGTCAGAGAGAGGAAAAGAAATATTGCTCATCCACTGGACTGCCCCGGAAGACAGCGAGCATCAGAGCTGGGCCAGGCTGGAGCCAGGAGCCAGGAGCCAGGAGCTGCTTCAGGGCCTTCCACATGCGTTCTGGGGCCCAAGCACTTGGACCATTCTCTGCTGCTTTTCCAGGCACATTAAGAAGAAGCTGGATCCCAAGTGAAGCAAGCAGAACCTGAACCAGTTCCCCCGACTCCCCTCCCAGGCCCACTCCCAGCCCCAAGATGTCACGCATGCCAGCAGGCAGCGGCTTTCCACGGGGAAATCACAGCATTTGTATCAAAATGTCAGTGGCATGGTGGGCTAAGGCCTTGGTCCTGCATCCCTGCCCTGGCCCAACTCCTGTAATGGTGGACAGCGACACGGAGATAATGCGAGGCTGTGAGCACCTTGCGCAACACATCACACACAAGTGCTTGTCCGTTACTTTAATGATGAAGTCTTTTTAGTTTACTTACATTTTATGAGTAATGACAACATTTTCTGAAAAGGCATAAAATGGGGCCATTGCTGTGATTAGCAGCTAAAGCCTATCACATTGGCATCCCACACGGGCGCCAGCTCAATTTCCGGCTGCTCCATTTCCAGTCTCACTCCCTGCTTCAGACCTGGGAAAGCAATTAAACATGGCCTATGTTCATGGGTCCCTGCACTCACATGGGAGACCCAGAAGAAGCTCCTGGCTCCTGGCTTCACATTGACCCATAACACGTGGGTTATGAGTTATGCCTCTGGGCATTGTAGCTAGTTAGGGAACAAAGCAACAGATACAAACATCTATCTTCTCTCCCAATCTTTCTAACTCTGCCTTTCAAGTAAGTGAATTTTTAAAAACAAAAGACATCAAGTAGTCATATACAAATAAAGACTTTAAAATTGCGTGTATACTTCTTCATGAGCCACAGTGACCTCAGTCCCTAGCCGGCACCCGCCTGCAGAGCGCCTGCGGTAACCTGTGTCTGGCTTCCACCCGCAGATGAAGCTGCTGAACCTTTACATCAAACGCGCACAGACAGGTTCTGGAGGAGCCGACCCTGCTGCTGATGGGCCCGGACAGAGCTCGTGACGCTCGGCCAAGCGAACCAGGTCTCTCCCGGAAAGGACAGGCGACGGACCACCCTCATCAGCGAAAGGGAATTCTCAGACCCATCTTTTGGAGCTTAACCATTGTTTCCTAGTTTTGAGTTTTTCGTTTTGTTCCGTTTTGTACTTTCTGTACCAGAGAACTATGCTCAGTCTGCATGTGACTTTTATGATAGCTATTCCAGATTCATGAAGAAACAGTATTAACATCAGTTGATCAGTACAAAGTCATTTTTAACCTAACTCATCATTTCCCATGTTTGTACTTCTTTGTCTTCCCATTAACCTTTGCCAGTGTTATGATTGTATAAATTTTTTTAAATGCTGGTTAAACAGGAATGCTTAGAGCTTTAAAAGTTAACAGTCTAAAACATTTTTTTGCTTTTATTCCACTGAAGAATAATATTTTTATTGCTCCTTTGAGTTTTGTTCTGTATCATGTCCTATGGTAGAAATACTTCAATGATGTGAAACAATGCAGGGCTAAGTTGAACTTGAGCTGGCCTCTGTTGGTGTGAAGGTGATACGTGTCATTCATTGCCACTTTTGCGGGGTGATCTGTAGATTGAAAACTAAGACCTCAAAGAGAAATGTTACCGAATCAGCCAGTTCTGGATACCTGATACTGTTTATTGGTTATTGATCTTGCCATCTTTATTTAAAACCATGCCCCTTGTATGATCCCTTAAGAAAGCTGCACCAAATCATCTCCCGGTTGTTTTCTTGACACGAATGTAGGTTTCATTGCAGGATTTTTGGTTTGTATCTTTGTTGTGAATGATGCTTTTTTTTTTGTATTTATTAATATCAAATTCACTTACGAATAAACTTGATAATGGAAACAGACAAAAAAAATCAAGTGCGTGTGTGTCCTTGACCATCTTCTGTTTGTCATTTAATAAACAGGCTAATTATTGAGACATGGGAGTTGAGAGCAGAACCTTTTCGTCCAGTGGTGGAACCTGGTTTCCTTTGACCATGAAATTGTCTAACTTGAGGACGTTGATCCTGATGAGAGAGGAGTGCCAAGGCTCTCTGCAGATGCTGCGCTCACATTCTCTACCTCTTCAGGGCGGGTACTTTGAACTGAACTGCTGCCTATGGTGTCTTCTGGAAAACTACTCCAAGGGTGATATTCTGTTAATTTTTTCAACCACCCCCACCCCCCCAAAAAAAAAAAAAAAACTTTTGATCACCTTCTGGCACGCCTGTTCTTTTCATGTGCAGCGAATCTTCAGAAATGACTGGTGTTGGTGCAAGGCCAAATCAGATCCTTTGGAACCAGGATGCTAATGGTTTCTCATCTTGACTTTTTTTATTGTTAATTTTTTTGTTAATCCTAACAGAAAGTGAATTTGACTGGAAAGGCAAATGGCTATTAGGAAAGCAATTTGCTTACTGTTACAGAATTATCTGTACTTTGTTTAATTGAAAGGAAAATGTAGAAATATATGTAAAGAATTGAAGACCAGAGTACTGAATGGATGACGTGCCCTAGGCTTGCCCCTCCCTCCCTTTTCGTTCTAGCAGCAGGAAGATAGTTTCTCTATGCCCCCTCCCCATGACCTGTAACAGTTCTGTTTGCTAATGTTGATTACATTGTGTATTTATAGTTCTATGCTTACTGTTGTGCATATTACTGGCAATAAAACTGTACATAACATTACTTGGAGAAATGTGTGTGTTTGCATTGTTTCTGTCTCACTGTGTAGCAACTTTATCAGGCGCTCTCATGCATTGTGTAAGTACATCCGGGGCCTGCAGGTACAATCCAGCGGATGTAGATGGCCACATACACAGGTCTGTGTTGCAGTGTATCTTTAAGAAGAAAGAGCATCAAGATTCTGTTCTGAAGACCATTCAGTAGAGTGACTTAATGATAATTCCACCTGGAAAATTGAATAAAGCACCTAGCTTCTGAGGAGTGGGTGAACTTCATAACAGAAAACTATAGTGTAAAGTGTCTTAAGTGAAAACTAGCTTATATAAGCACCAATGGCATCGTGTTTAAAGTTCTGTATTTTCAGTTGATAACACCCTGAAAAACCTATTATTCATTCAATTCACCATATGCAACATATCATTCATTTGTGTATTCCATAAACATACGTGGCTATCAATTATTAATGAATTATCCTTTTAAAAAAAAAAACCTATTGGTTAAAGTTTTTCCTCTCACATTTCTCTTCCAAACTAATTCGGTGCCATTCATTTATGGCAATGCTCAAAGGTAATGAAAACCATGTCATTTGAGTTTATAAAACCTGTCCAAGATTCAAATTCTGTAGTAGAGTTTATTTCTTGAGGACAAGTATAAAAGAGGGGGTGGGGTAGGGAAATGGATGGGAGGGAGAGAGGGGTGGTTAAAAAAAATTCTGGCCTTTTCCAAGTGGAAAGGGTATGAACCTGAGACTTCTGATACCAATGTTGAGCAGCTTATCTGCTGCATGCCTTCCTGTTTTATCCTTACAAATGTCAGAGCAGAACAATTGCACCATTAAGCCATGCCCTACAATAAAAGAGAAGAATCGGGCAGGTATCTAACAGTTGTTTGCTTAGACTAGCAAGTACGGACAAATGCAAACCAGTATTGCTCGATGATAGGTGAGAGGTGGTTTATAGAAACATTTCTATTTGGAAAACGGAGTTGCACAGGGAGAGACAAAGAGCATTCTTCATGTACTGGTTCATTCCCCAGGATGAACCTAGAAGCCAGACCAGGTTTCCCCTGTGTGTGGCAAGGTCCCAGGTGCTTGAACCATCTTCCCATGCCTCTCGGGGGCATCAACAGAGAGGTGCATCAAAAGTGGAGCAGCCAAGACAAAGCGATGCTTGTACAAAATGCCAGCACCGCAGGGTGCAGCCTAACCCCCTGTAACACTGGAGTGACAGTGTGAGCGGTGTGTTACTCCATCCGCTGTATCTTTGCTGCTTGTATTCTAGTACATTTTCTTGTTTTTGCAGCTATGTGTGTGAAGAATAGTCTAGAATTCAGCTAATTTGTTTTAAAAAAACTGTTTAAAAATTCTCCTTAATGTAGAATTTGTGGAAAATAAGGAAAAGCTGAAGCAAAAAAGTGCCTCCGGTAGTAGCACTGAGCTGATATCTTGCCGTCTTGTGGAAATCAAAGTAATGAGAGTTTGATTTCATACTAAAAATGGTGAGGAAGCATTGAGTGTTATCCACCAGAAGAGTGACAGAATTAACTAATATTTTGAATCTTTCAGTTCTGTGAGTTATTCAATGCTTTTCCAATCTCCTGTTAGCTTGCTAGTCAACTGAGTAGATATCCTAGTTACTTTAAATGACTGGCAATAAATTATTCCTGTAATGAAAATCCAAACACAGCAGGGACTGTTAAGTACCAGATGTTCAGTATTGCATATTGATCTGCCTGCATCTGTGTAGGAGGCACCCAAGTACTTGCCTAAAAAGAGTAAACCAAGAGTTCCCATACAGTGTGGCTAGTGCCGTGTAAACCGAACAGACAGCTGGGAGGTGAGGAAGAGAGGAGAAACACATATCAGATGTACTCAGGGGACCCAGTGCAGTGGCTAAAATGACTATTCCACCTCCAAGCGCAACACCCCATGTGGGTGCTGGTTCACATCCTGGCTGTTCTACTTCCTTCCAGCTCCCTGCTTGTGGCTTAGGAAAAACAGTGGAGGGTGGCCCAAAGCCTTGGGACCCTGAGCCCATGTGGGAGATCTGTAAGAACCTCCTGGTTCCTGGCTTCAGATCAGTGCAACTCTGGCTATTGGTGGCCATTTGGAGAGTGAACCAACGAATGGAAGATCTTTCTGTGTCTCTCCTCTGTAAATCTGCCTTTCCAATAAAAATAAATCTTTTTTTTTTTTTAAATGTACTCATCGCTTTGTGCAGTGGCCGTATCATAGCCAATGAGGTTTATCCAAGGCACGATTATTGGTAATTGAAAACTTTTCCCAATACCCTGCCATAACAAAATAGAGTCTGCATTGGCAATTTTTGACAGTCTCCACAGAAACTGAAAAAAAAAATGTACTCATGGAAAAGAGCTGGATTAGAGAGCTCCCATCTGCTGGTTCACTCCCCAAATGCCTACAAAACGCCAAAAAACAGGGACCCAATCCACATCTCACACACTGGTTACAGGAATGCAAGTAAATGAACCACCACCTGCTGGCTGGCAGGGTATGCGTTGGTGGAAGCTGGAATGGGAAACAGAGGCAGGTCTCAAAGCCTGGCACTCTACTCCACTGTACACATTTCTGTTTGTTGTTTGTATGTCCATATTTTAAAGAGCTGCAGAGAGATGTTGAAGCCACTGATTCACTCCTCACATGGCTGTGACAGCAGGAGCTGGACCGGCTGCAGCCAGGAGCCAGGAAGTCCATCTGGGTCCCCCATGTGGGTGACAAAGGCCCAAGTGCTTGGACCATCTTCTGCTTGCTGAGATACATTAGCAGGGAGCTAGCTCAGAAGTGGAGCAGCCAGGACTAGAGGCAGCAATCAAGTGGGAGTTGGACATTGCAAGGGGTACCTTAACCCGCTGCAGCATAGCAAGCCGTGTTGCAGGCATCATAACAGGCCTCCTCACTTCAAAGCCAAATACCTGCCTCCCAATTCTCAAACTGAACCTGTCACTTTGTGATAACCTCAGTTGACCATAATTAGTTTGGCTGGAGTTTGGGAGAGTGGCACAAGATAGAGTAATGGATATTCCACAAAAGGCATCCTATGATGTATGCTAAATGAAATAATAAGATCACCAAAGACTTAAATACAAGAATGGTGTGATTAGAGAGCAAAGTAGCTGGTACAGAGGAAGGAGGTGGGGGGACCCGCCCTGGCAGGCCGCAGTCACCTCCCTGCCCACCTCATCCGCTTGGTGTGCAAGGAGGTGAAGATGCTGACCGCTGACCCGCCTGATGGCATCAAGGTGTTCCCCAACCAGGAGGACCTCACTGACCTGCAGGTCACCATGGGGGGCCCTGAAGGAACCCCCGCACGCATGCAGGAGGCTTGTTCCCGCATGGAATTCCTGCTGGGGAAGGACTTCCCCGCCTGCTCCCGCAAAGGGCTACTTCTTCCTGACCACGATCTTCCACCCTAACGTGGGCGCCAATGGCGAGGGCTGTGTTAATGTGCTCAAGAGAGACTGGACGGCGGAGCTGGGCATCCGACACGTGCTGCTGAGCATCAAGTGCCTGCTGATCCACCCCAACCCTGAGTCTGCACTCAAGGAAGCCGGCCACCTGCTCTTGGAGAACTGCGAGGAGTGTGCCACCCACGCCCGCCTGCTCGCTGATCCATGGCGGCGCGAGGCCGAGGGTGGCAGGGCCCTGGTGAGTGAGTGGGGCTGCAGCTGCCTCCTCTGACCCTGGGCCCGGGCAGGGGCTGAGGACCCCAAGGCCGAGAAGCATCTGATGAGCATAATAAGAAGCTGGTGGCCAAGAAGACAGACTAGAAGCAGCCCTGCAGAGGCTGTAGCGGCTCTCCTCCCCCATTCCCTCCCTCCAACTACTGTTATTTAAATTATGGCTGGGTGGGGGAGGGCGGGGGGGGCACTGGGACCTGCACTTGTTTTTCTAAATAAAGTTGGAAACGCAACAAACAAACAAACAAACAAAAACAAGAGCCCAATTGGGAAGATATAATCAGAGAGAGAATTAAGATATACTTAATTCGTGGTGGGTCTCAGGACAGGGCGTCTCATGCCTGGATCCCGGACAGCCGCCATGTGCTGAGCTGTCCCCGGGCCTGCTGGTTCCGGGGGCCGCTTCCTTCGGGGTGAGTAGACTGAGGGGGGGAGGCCTCCGGGACTGGGCAGGCCCGGGACCCACCCGCCGCCCTCATGGGGCTGTGAATGGGATTTGGGAGGGGCGCGACCTTGGGCCTGGGTTATTTAAACCTCCAGCAGCCTCCTGGCAGCTGGTGGGTCTCAGGACGGGGCGTCTCATGCCTGGATCCCGGACAGCCGCCATGTGCTGAGCTGTCCCCGGGCGGCCAGTGCGCCATTGGGTGCCATGCTCTGCCTGCTGGCCGCCCGGCTGCGGAGCTCTGGGGATTTGGTTCTTTGAGTTGCTGCTTAATTCGCTCCAGGTTGAACCCATTGTGCTTCTTGGACCTGAAACAGGCAGTAACTCTTCCTTAGCAAAACTTTCAGTCACTAATAATTCTGAGCACCAAATAGCAGTCATGCAGAAGCTAGGGCTTGGGGCCTGTCCTGCAAAAGTAGCTCCAACAGTTGGCCAATGTGTCAACTGGTAATGGAACAGAGTAGATTAGGCACGACTGAACAAACCTTAGCCCACAAGTAAAACTAGAAACCAGGAGGGAGCAGAGGTCTTGCCGAGCTAGGTTCTTGTACCTGCTGGTCTGTTGGAGCCAGGGACGCTAAGCCACAGTGTCTAAGGCAGAGGTCGGGACAGGTGAGGAGCTGTGCCAAGCTGAGTCAGAGCATCCATTGGCAGGCAAGTGATCTATGGCTGGGAACAGACCCAGTTGGGGAGCAAAGGGGACAACCCTAGCTGGGCTGAGGTTCCCACCAAGAGGCACATGGCCTGAAAGGGGAGCTGCGTTCTGATCTGGAAACAGTTGTAGTCTCCCTTGGCACAAGTGTGAACTGGGATTGGATGCACCGAACCGGGCCGGACCCCGACTCCCCCTGGTGTTCTGGAGGACCAGGGCAGATGTGGGATGGACTAGGCAGGGTCTAAAACCCCTACTGAGCCATGTGTGAGCCATATGTGGGTATAGACAAACCATGGCTGGGCTGGAACATCCAATAGCAAGAACCAGATTGGGTGGAAGGCCAGTCAGGAAAAGCCACAGTTCCTGTTATTACAGGAGGTGGACTGAGTAAGGTTGGCTCATGGACCCACTGGTAAGCGTGAAACCTGGCATTGGGAGAGGTTCTGATGGAGGAGCCTGGGCAACTCCTCTGGCAGGACACAGACCCGGCAGGTAAACGCAAGAAACATGATAGGAAACAGCCCAGAAAAGGCCATGGAAAGCTACCCACTGGCATACAATTGGCTGACGTGGGGGCAAGACCAGGCTGAATCTGTCCACATCATCCACTGGCAAATCCAGGCACCAGTGTGGGTCGACCTAGGGTTGGTCGCAACAAAGACTAGTGCACATTATGGAATGCCGAGGTGAGGTGGCCTGTACCGGAAGGGACCGCAGCGCCCTACCAGCCTGAGAACAAGAAAGGAAGTGGGCAGAGCCGGCAGGGGAATAAGGGAGGGTTCCTTTGCAGGACAGCTACTTCCGCAGGAGAGCATGGGCTGGGATGGGGGCAGACCAGACTAGGCAGAGCTACCACACCTGTGGGCTTCGTGCGGACCAGATCAGGGAAAAGCCGGGCTGGGTGGATTATTCCTACTGGTGCAAACAAAATTAAAGTGGGCGAGGGTTGTTTGGGCTTAGACGCAGCATCAACTGGAATCTGGGAGTGGGAGAGGCCTGGGAGGGAAATAGTGGGCTCATCCCTCTTGGGTTACCACTTCCACAGGACATAAAACTAAGATAACTAAGATAGCGGCTGGGGTGGAATGGGGTGTGGGACAGACTGGATTACTGCTACACTTACTGGCAAACCAGGGTAGGGGGTGGGCCTGGTGGGGGTTATTGTGGGTCGCTCCAACCTAGGCTGCAGCTCCCGCTGGTTTATGTGAGGGCCAAGTATGTGCTGGGCAGAACTAGGCTGGACTGCAACACCCATTGGTTCCAGTGGAAGTCGGGAGTGAAAACAGAACCAACCCAGCAACTGAAACCACCAGCTGATTGGAGCGATGGACGGTGCCGGGCCCTGTACTTGTTAGCACATACAAGAAGTTTCTTTGGAGATCTTCCTAATCTAAATGCTGGACTCAAAACCCTAACGAAGAAAAGAAAGAAGACAGAACGGGTCAACCAACCATCTCCGCTATGATGGACTATGTCAATCAGTGGATTTTTCAAAGCCCTCATAGTGCTTGGAGTGGCAAGATTGACAACGATTCATAACTGTTGCAATATCAAAACCACTTGAGCAAGAACCTCAGCGCATGCCCTACATCCGGGATCTGGGGAGGGTGGGAAAATGGGTGGGCCTTCTCCCTTAAATAACCCCCTTTAAACATGAAGGTAACAATATGGAAAACATACTAGTATTATCCACTTTCATGTAGCCCTTGAACCTTCTTACCCTAATTAACTATGTAAAGAATGTCAAAATAAAATTTTATAAAAATTAAAAAAAAATGCAAAAAAAAAAACAAAACAAAACAAAAAAAGATATACTTAATTCTTCATCATGCAAAGAATTTTATGTTTGACATATGAGATACTATTACCTGCATTACTCCTTCCATTTATAGGTGAATGTGTAAGCTGGGGAATGTAATCTATATTAGCAACCATCTTATCCAATTATTAGTAATCCAGATCGTTCAGTTAGATGGCAGAGGAAATTCTTTGCGTCATCAGAGTGCTGCAGGGTTTGTCTCAAGGGATAAAACACCCTGCACGCTCTTGTTCTAGAAAGTATTCACATATCTTTGCTCTATGTATTAGATGTTAAGAAATTGCATTTTCCATTAAGTGAAAAATAAGCAATTTTCATTGCATATCTTTTATTTTCTTTTTAAATAAAGATTTATTTATTTTTATTGAAAAGTCAGATATACATACAGAAGGAAAGACAGAGAGGAAGATCTTCCATCCGATGATTCACTCCCCAAGCGACCACAAGGGCTGGTGCTACACAGATCCAAAGCCAGGAGCCAGGAGTTTCCTCCAGGTCTCCCACGCGGGTGCAGGGTCCTAGGGATTGGGTGGTCCTCAACTGCTTTCCCAGGCCACAAACAGGGAACTGCATGGGAAGTGGAGCTGCCGGGATTAGAACCAGCGCCCATATAGGATTCCAGAGCACGTTCAGGGCAAGGACTTTAGCTGCTAGGCTACACTGCCGGGCCCTTATCTTTGATTTTCATTGCTTATCTTTCCCTTGCATTGAATTCACATAATACCGTTTTA